GTATTTTGGTTACAACACTATATTTATGTTGTTAGAGAGTACTTGGATTATTTATCTTACAAAGAAATCGGCATCATCTTCAAATCGACGAAACTCTATCCATTAAGTAATGTTCAATGAGTTCGTTGACTTAAGCCTTATGGTTTACGAATTTTATTTTTTGAAAACTATACTATCACCTATAATCAAAATAGATCAAATGCTTGGATGTCATTCACTTTTCAAATAGATGGTACAAATAATACCGGTCAAGTTACAATGGTACCTTAGACTTTTCTCAAATATAAAACCGTCAGTAATTATTATATTGTTAAATCAATTATATTAAAATATAATCGAATATTTTAAAGCAATTAATTCAAATTGTTTGTTATCACAACTTTTTAGTAAAACTATAGAAAAGTTTTTTATAGTAAATAAACAGCAAGTCATAATTTTTTTTTTAATACAGTTTTGATAGTATTAAATTTAAAACCATTTTAAAGTGTATTTTTTTAATAATTTGAGAAATTTCTATTAAAGTATGAAATCAAATATTTTTTTAGTTAGTAAAAATAGTGAGATTTTAGTACCTGATTACAGTTATGCATCAGAACTATTATTTTTTATATTATAAATATATAAAATTTTAAAATTTTAAGTACTAAATCGTATTTGGAAAATATTACAAATATATACATATATATTTGTTACACTAAAAATGAAATTATGTACAATAAATCGTTTCACTCGAAAAATACTATAGCTATGAACTCATCGCTCCTGTATTTTTATAGTGCAGAATAAAAAAGTCCTACGATGTAAATCTAATAGATTGCATAATAGAGCTAACAGAGAAAAATGTTATGGTTTTTTTTTTAATAATGTCTAAAATAATGATTATTTATCTTTTGTGTATTAAAAATCTCGTCTTAGATAAAATTTCCGTCACGATTATTTTTTCGAACGTAACATTTTTCCCCGTCAGAAAATTCTATCATCGAGGAAAATGTGTTTTCCAAATCATACGTCATACCTGGCCAGTTTCAAGACTACTACGTCGTTGCTTTTTAAACGGCCAAACGAAATATCCGGTCGTTTGGCATAGCAAAAATCCCTTATAATATTTACAAGTCAAGTTTTATTGCTAGTAGTACACAGTAAATAGGAAAAGACTTTAATCGCGACTCTGTACTCGCTGACATTCTACTGTCATCACAATGAAACCCGATTTCGAACGGATATTTAAATTTGTTTGCCGACAGTCTACTTGAAATTTGTACATTATTTAAATAGACATCGAATAATTTTCTTTGTTCGACTTTTGGCCGTGACTAAAACTCCCAAGGATACCACCCAACATAAATGCTATTAACTGCATTATAATTATTTGTCAACTGACACCGATAATTATTATGAAACAGATACACAGGCAATCTGAAAAACAAACTGTTCGCAATAATAACGATGTGTTAAATATATTGGCTCATTGTTCACGTGGATTTTATTTTTTTAAGCAATTACACGTTATTTTAAGCGATTGGAATTCCTCCATAAGTCGAATCATTTTCAAACAGATTAGCGAAATAGTCTGCAATGACATGCCTTTCCATAACTATTGTTTTAATATGTACATAAAAATGATATAATAAATATAAAAATATTATTACATTTTTGACTTTTCATTTAAGTACACTCTTATAATTTGATTCCGCATATGATGTTAATTCGTTAACTATTTGTATGTTAATAGTACTGTTTCGTACTTGCACAAACTAAAAACACATAAATTGTTTAAATATAATTTAACATTACCATGTTACTGTGTGAAAATAAATCTTTCGGTGAAACTATAGACAACACAACAGGCTACATAGTATTATCTCTCAAATATTTAAGTCTATATAAAATAAATCAAATAATTAATATATTATTCTAATAATTCATTTTTATTGAAGAGTTTAAAAATATTTTTTAAAATTATTAACGAATAATAATATAATAAAATAGACAAAACGCGATAATCTGTTTTAAGTTTAATTGCATGTAATTATTAAAACAATAAAAAAACATTAAATTAAAAAATTGGTTTTAAATACTCAACTTTACTTTTTTATAATAATAAATAAAAGTTATTTAATAAAAATAATGTTTTCATAATCAAAACCAGTATCTAACCCCATCATTGGGGTCTTTTAATTTAAACGTTTATTTTTCCTACCGACGTTGTCACTGTAAATCCTTATCCAATTATTCTTTGGTTTTCATTTAAATTTTTCTAGTCAAAGTTATTTATGTCGTTAGTGCAACAACTACATTGTATACAATGGATGACTAAAAATGTTATTACTAACTTTAATATTTACAGAATTTTTTACTAATTTAATCACATAAACCTCAAATTAATAATTTTTTGCGTTGACACAAACAATACTTTTAAAGCAATACTTTATAATTAAAGTGTCAAAAGTTTGTTAAGTTAATATATTTTTATGATATAACATTGAAAAACCAAATACCGTTATAGATAAAATTTTAATTTAATTTAATTTGAACGCTATTTTTAACTTTTTATTTAATGATCTTCCTAATCGAGAAGTTTAAAAACAAACAATGAAAATAAACTGGAGAATAGTGTATCATTAAACTATATATCGTTGCAAATTCTTACTGATTTAACTGTAAGGTATATGCAGGGCTTCAAAAGAGTAGTGACATGAGGAGATTAAACCCTCCTACATCTAATGACCAATAATAATCGTTTCGTTTGGGGTTCATTCGTGTAACGTATGTAATTCTATGGATAGATGAGCTAATAAATAGTATAAGGATATAGGAGAAGTTTGAAAAAAATGTTGGATAGCTTACTATAATTTTTCCTTGCTAAAAAATACATCTTTATATCTAATTATAAATAAATTCTCTGCATTTTTAGGAACCTGATTTCATTTTGATGAAAGCGATCCTCCAAAGCCACCCTCAACTCCACCTAAATATAAGGGTAATAATCCCCTCGTCATTTTGTCCCTTTAAACCTTCTCGAATGATTTTCGGAATTAAAAATAATTTACTTTTAATTTTCTACCAAGAATTGAACTAATCCATAGGTAATAAACCGATTTTTTGATTTATAATTTATAAATGTAATTTATCATATCATTACTTTTTAATTAGTAGAAAAAACAACTTTAAGCTTTATACACCATTTCGGGATCGATTCTCATATAATCTCAAAACTTAATGCACCTTTTGTAATTTGTACAAACTGCTCTTTAAAAGTAATAATACTAATAAAACATAATTGTCGAGATATAATAATAGTATGTATTCAAATCTATTTAAAAGGAATTATGCAATAGATTTATTTACTTTATGAACTAAAAATGTTAATTAAACACCAATCAACTCTATTGGTATACTTCAACGTATTTGGAGTTTTTGCAGGCAAGATATAAAAAAAACCCAGCACAGGGGGGTCGCGGCACAGTGGTGACGTGGCATAGATGGATCAAATATAATGATATCTGACAGTGATTAAAATCACTATCAAAAAAAAACGCTTCGATGCAAATCTTTAGATAGTGTTTAATTTTAAAAAATTGGTGGATTATTCCAAAAGCTACATGATCTGCTAGTTCATTATTAATATCCTAATTAAGATAAAGTATGTCGAATGAAAAAGGGATTATTAAAAAATATTATTTCTTATAAAAAAATAATGTTGATCCATACACTTTTAAATATGTCATAGCATTATAAAGTTAAAAATGTAAAAAATAAAATCGAGAATTTTCACATAATAATAGCATTTGGTAGCCATTTTCACCGTGAAGATAAAATAAAGTCCGAAATTTTTTTTTACCATAATAAAGTATATTACATTAGCTTTAATTGAAGATATATATAAAAGTGTCAGACCTTCCGGTACACTTTTAAAATTTAAGTTGAAAAAGTTCTACTTTTTACATGAATTTTTTAGATTTGAACCCCCCTCGTATATAGGGAAATGGTCCGATTTAAAAAAACAGTATGTCAAATGAAAGGTAATGATATTATTCATCTATATAAAAAAAAATTTATATTGATATGTTTATTTTTGAAAAAGTTATGGCACTTTTAAGTAAAAAAAATTTCGAAAATTTCGAAAATTAGCGATTTTTAAATTTGTAATTTTTTTGGAGGTTTCCCCCATTTACGGGGAACGAGGGAATTTTTTTCAATTTTTGAGGGTAATGTCTTCGACTAGATACAATTTGTGATCTTTTGACGTATCATTGAAAGAAATCGGTTCAGTGAGAGCTGAGAAAAAGTGGTAACAGACACAAAAAAAAAAAAATAAACACATCTTAGTAAAACCAATACCTCCTCAGCTTCGCATCGAAGCTAAAATAAATCTGTCTTCTATTTGAGCTACCAGACATATTTATGCATTTAAATAATTAAAATATGGTATTCAAATTAGTATTTAATTATAAAACAAAACAAGAATTTTAAATTTCTGTTCGTTGAAACTATAAAAAAAAAATCGTTTTCAATACTTGGAAAAAAGTAGTAAAATCTATCATTTTGAAGAAATCCAAAGAATTACGTTGAAGTGAAGAAACTCATAAGTTATCTTTCATATTTATTCTTTTTATGTACATTTTAAGTGATCTTGCCTAAAATTAGTTGTCTAAGAAAAATAGCAATTTTATTTTTAAACTAACAAACGACAAATGAACATATAAAATAATTTTAGAACATTTCTTAAGCTTATTAACTGAAGCTTAAAAAATAGTAAACAAACAAAAATTAACTCTTTTTTTTTTTCACGTACAACACAAAATAATTTTATATACCAATGATTTATTTTTGATTACTTTTTATATGCTATACACTGTAGGTGGCCATATAACGATATGAAAAAATCTAACAATAGATTGTAAGCATTAAGAAAAAAAGAAAAAAACACTATGAATAACGTTATGATTATAGTTTTTAAAACGAAAAACAAAAAAATCCAAAAATATGTGATATCAACAAACCAGTGGCGGACTAAGGGGGGGGCGGAGGGGGCGGTCCGCCCCGGGCCCCCACATTTGGGGGGCCCCACAAGATAAAAAAAAAAAATTTTTTTTCGTGAATCAGGTGTTTGAAAATGAAAATCCAACATTTACTCTTAGGAGGCGGCATCGCAAAATCGAGTAGTCGCACTCGCACTAGTCGATCGAATGTGTTATATGAAAAGCGGAATGCCGAATTATCGCCGTATCCAGTATTTGAGTATTTCTCCGAATTCATTGTAAAAAGTATTATTAAATAGATGCTTTATCGCCTTATCGATAAACGGGCACTTTATTATTCCGATAAGGAAACAATTATAGTCGTATTCGTATTGTATGATTTGTTTGAGTAAATTTCCAACCGGTCCGGCGGTCCCACCACGCGCAAACTATTTTACTCGGAAATAACTGTTTGATACTTTTAAACCGATATGGCAGTACATTTTTTACATAAACATCATATAAACACGTGTCAAACTATTTCCTCAAACGCGATTGACACAAACTTCATGTAAACGCATCTAAAACTGTTTACATAAACTGTTTGCATGAAGTTTACATGAAGTAGCTGCTTGTAAACATGAGTGACAAGCACAAGAACCAACGGACATATCTTAGTGGAGCACAAAAAAGAAAAGTGTCTGAAAAAAAAGAAAAAAGTCACCAAGAAGTTTTGGCAAAGACTTTCAAACTTGATAAGTTCTTCAAAGTCGTGACTCCATCAAAGAAAACAGATGAGAATCAATCTTCAGATTTAGAGCAGATCGAGGATAGATCAAATGATGCTAATAATGAAGTCTTGGAAGTAAACAATGTAAATGGTAATATATTGATTCTTGAATATAATTTTTCATATCGAAATAATAAAATATGATGTCATGAAATGTTACACGTTAATCAAAGTTGTGTAATCCAATAGTATTAAAGATGATGAATTTTGCTTATATTAGTTACCTTCGCATTTTTCAAAAATCATATTTTTAAATATGATTGTAATTGTTATTGATAGATGAAACTGAAGCAGCAAAAGGAAAAGAAAAAGAAGTTCAGGAATTTACATTTGGTGGTGAAATAAGTACTTTCAAAGAAAAGTTTCTTCTCTCAAACGATGCAGCGACTTGGCCGGTGCCAATGCCAGACGACATTCGACTAGAAATAATACAGATCGGTAGTTCGACATTTCAAAACAAGGATGGACCATTTTTGCCAATAGAAAGAGTCGGAGAATCAACTAAAGGAACAAATAGGAGCTTGACGTCTTCATGGTTTTATGCAAGTTTACCGGATGGAACCAAATTTTTGAGAAAATGGATGGTTTTTTCATTATCAACAAATAAGTTGTATTGTTTCTGCTGTCGAATCTTTGCAACGGACGATGATCTAGAAAAAAAATTTGTTTCTGGTTTTGATCGGTGGTGGAAATTGAATCCGAAAGTTACGCAACATGAGTCGTCCAACGAACACTTGTCAAATTTCGAGAAATGGAAAACCTTGACAGTCAGGCTTCATAGCGGAAAAACTATTGATCATAGCACTGAAAAAGTCATCAATTCTGAAACTAAAAAATGGCGTGATATTCTGCACAGACTATTGGACATCACGCTTTTTTTGGCAAAACAAAACCTTTCGTTCCGGGGCCACAGAGAAGATTTTGAATCGGAAAATCGTGGAAACTTTTTGGAGTTAATCAAGCTAATGGCTCGCTATGATCCTGTTTTGAGAGAACATTGGACGAATTTAGAAAAATCAGCAGGCGGACCCAAAAGACTGCCATCTTATTTATCTAAGGGTATTCAGAATGAGTTCATAAACATCTTAGGCGACCACGTTCTGGAAAATATTATTGTTGATGTGAAAAAGGCAAAATATTACGGCATGTTATTTGATAGCACACCAGATAGTAGTCATGTCGACCAAATGAGCAAAATAATAAGGTATGTACATATTGAAGGAAAAGTTGTAGAAGTACGCGAGTCTTTCTTGGGCTTTTTTCCTATGAATGGTAAAACAGCAGCCCATATAACAGAGGATATTCNTTCTGTATTTTTAATAAAACTATTGTTTAATCGAATGTTCTGAATATTGAACCCTTCATAACTCATAGCTCCATTAAACGAGAAAAATTACGGGAGGGGGGGGGCCTTCAAATCATTTCCGCCCCGGGCCCCAAAAGGTCTTAGTCCGCCCCTGCAACAAACGTATAATATCATTAAATATAATACAACTTATACCGTAAAATATAAATAATTTTTTTCAAACTATATTTAAAGAATTCTATACAAAAATAAAATAATATTTTACCTATATTAAAAACTGCTAATGGTATTAAATTATGTTTCGAACCCTTTTAACGTTAAACAAAAAAGTTAAATAACGTTAAACTCAATTATAAGATAACGTAATAATATATTTAAACCTCATTCAAAAAAAAATTAATCCCACACCTGGTTATAAACAATCCTTACTATCATAGACAGTAATATAAATATTAATATAATACTTCCGTTGTTTTCAATAATTATTATTGTATTATTGGGCTTCTAAAAACTACACGATAAACCGTTTATGCTAACACGTGAATCTATAACGCAAAAGTAAGCATCATGAGAAATGCGTTTGGTCGCTCATATTATTATATGTCAATGGTTGATCCGATTAAAATACTCTGACAGCAAACAGCATCCGTCTGTTTTTTTCTTCGTAATAGAACATGTGGCAAACACTAACAATGAAATCAGGGATTTAAACACTGAAATAACCCAAACGCTCCTTTGAAAAATACACTTAACAAGACAATGGCATCAATACTGTAACAATGTCGACTAATGCCTCATAACCGACTCGCTGCTTTCATCTAGAGCACCTAATTAAAAATTCGCCAGTAGAGGATCTAATATATGATCTCTTCATGCATACAATACCAAATTGTCTATGTATATATGAAAAATGCGTCACTACTTTATAACACTTCTCAGTGGCTATATTATAAAAATAGAGTGTTATTACATTTCACTATAGTTATTTCTTGGTCATGATATAATAATAAAAATTATTTTGCCAGCTTACATTATTATTATTGAATTGTTTATATAATAAAGCTACTATTAATTGTTTTAAACATTTTAAAACTTGCATATGTTCTGTTTTCATTCACAATACAGTTAAAAAAAATTATTAATTTATCAAAATTAATTAAATATAAACAATACTTCATACTAATTTATTTAATAACAATTTAAATTCGACTAACTAAATAATAGATTCTATTCGTTTAAAAAAGCTTTATAATAATATAAATAGAACACTAAGACCTTTCCATAAACATTTAGAGTAAATCCATATTTAAATGATTGTAATACGTTGACACAAGTCATAAATAGAAGTTGATTAAGTTAACACTGAACTTCTAAAAATCTTAGTCGGGTTGATTACTACTTACATTAAATAAAATACATTAATAATAATGAAAATCGAAAAATTTTTTATTGTTTTAGGCGGCTGTGCTATGTTTGGTCATTCTTGTTATGGCGGATTTGGTAAAAGGTCGTTCCAAGGGAATATGCAACAGCCCACGACGAAAGATTGGCCAACAACTAACGAGGAAGCATCACAAATAGACGATATTATTAACAAATATTTTCAAGTTAAATCAAGTTCTCCTCATTTTACACCGTTCTGGCAAAAATGGGTGAGTTATGATTTATATATATATATCAATTTAAAAAAAAATAGTAGTAGAACGAAGTTAGAAAGGTTTCTTTAAGATATTAATTTTATACCTAAAATGTATTAAAATGCTTATTAAACGGCACTCGTTGTAGGCAATTTAAATACAATAATAATAAAAAATTACGTTCAAAGCTATGATAGTCAAAAAGTAAAATGATCACAGTAATACAAAGATACCATTTACTTAGATATTATAATAGTGGGTATCCTGACACGAAATAAGTCCTCTGATAATCAATGTGTGTTTATAAATGTGTGACTAAGTCTTGTGAGTGTTTTAGTTTTAGTTTTAGAAATTCTTAACAATTTTCTTTTATTTTAAGAAAAAAATACTTCAAAATTATTTGGGATTCAAGGCTGTTGATGATTTTTTTAATTCATTAAAATCAAATTAATTTTAAAAAATATTACTAATAAATAAATGGAATTTTTTTTAATAAATAGAATTAAAAATTATGTTGACAAAATCTCATTAACTTAACGAGTTTAGTTAAGTATTAGTAATTTACAAAAATATTTTATTGATAGGTTGACAAAACTGTTATAAGGTGTTAAATTTTTTCCTTCCAAAATTTTTTTTTATATAATAAAATATATTTAATTATTCAAATATAAAAGAAATTTTGGATTGATTCTATATTATTTTATCTTCCAGAAATTTATTTATTTTTATGTAAACTAGTGAAAATTATGTCATATAGTAAAACCTCGTATCTCTTCAGATACTTCAGATTTTTTTTTTTATACGTACTTACAATGATGATTTTGAGTGATTTTTGATAAATAATTTTAAATATTTTCTATCATTAATAAATAATATATATATATATAATTTATATATATTATATATAAATAAATAATTTCTATTATTTATTGAAAAGCTATACCTATAATAAACTTACATCTATTGTTAGCTATACAAAATAATGTATTCTTTTCTTCTCTTGAATAATTTGAAAAAATAAAGCGATTTCGTCATAAAAATAACGATAATAAAAATTTTTCAAAAATTCGCCATCTTTTCATAAAAAGAATTTCTGTTATATTTATGAGTTCATTAAAAATAAGTAAATATTAATTATTATTAATAAGTGAGTATTAAAAATAACGAAAAATATACGTTGTCATATTAATAAACAAAAGAGAAATTGAGTTAAAATTAATTTACCATAAAATCTAAATATTTCAATTAAGCTAAAAACTTTAATTGAACTTTAACTTAGTAATTGGTTTATACTCGAAATTATAAACCTCCTCACCCGAAAAAAATTCTGATTATGCGCTATTATTGAATTATACTAAGTGTGCCACCTAAAGTCATATATATTAGGCCTTTTTATTACCATTTATAACAGTCACTGTCAAATGTGTTTCGGAGAGAGCGCTCGTTGTTCTTTTAGGCGTAATTTACCTTTTTCACAGAAGAAAGCTTTAAATTAACTAAAATTTGATACATCAATATTTTTAAAAGCACAAAAATTATGTTATAGTTTATATAGAAAAACTTGTTTTTAGTGTCTCATCTCAACCAATTAGTATTTTCTCTGAATTTTCTCTTACGGGTGTAGTTTAATTACAATTTTTGGAAGTCTAATTAATTTCACCCCTCCCCTAAAATTTTTTTTTTTTCATAAAAATGCATATAAGTTTGTCCATCACAAGAGGAACAGAATTTTCTAATTCTATATCTGGCTTAGCTACGTTTCGACTACAAGCAAGAATTTTAGTTTTCGACTTCTTTATTTTTATATATCTCAGAGAAAAACTTTGAAAAGCTAAATAAGTCGTATCCTTTTCAAATTTTAATTACATTTTATTATTCTACTAAAATTTATATTTCAAGTCTAAACCTATTTTCTATGTTAAATAAAAGTTCACCTAATCCGCTTTTTAGTATAGGTTTAACATATAAGTGACAATATTATATGGTTATGTTTGTTGTATTATGATATAGTGTTAAATATATAATTTAATTTTTGTTAAATTTAAAAAATAAGTTATGTATTAATAAAATACACATTTAAACATGCGCGCTATCAATAGTCTTTTCAAGATTTACAAAAACTAGATAAGGATGCTTCAAACTATTCTGAACAATTTTATTATAATGAATCTAAGACACGTTATTTAAAACTAATCCTAAATTAAGTTGTACAGCAGATAATATTGAAAAAATAATAACTTACATTAAATAAAAAAATGATACTTAGTAAATAAAATGAATTAGAATATGTGTATCTTAGAAAATATTTTTGACTTTTTAACAATTCAAAGAGGTTCCTATAAAAATAATCCTAATTGTTTATATCAGTTTAACTAAGAAGTTAATTAAGTATGCGATAATTGTTAAGTTACTTAGGACAGATGCCTACTAAAGTACTCCCTTATCCACTTTTCTATAAAGATAATATCTACAATATTAAATAATCCATGTTCGTATGAATTGAAAGAGAAAATTAATATTATTTCTGTACAGTAATCATTCGGAATATTTTCAATGAAAAAGTCATTTGATGAAACAAAAATGGTAAAGGGATCGTTATAGATTATGATTTCCAGAAATAATAATTATCAAAATTATTTTGATGATAAAACCCCTACATTTTAGGATACACTACTAATCCTGTGCAAATAAAATAATTTTTATTGAAGCTTAACTATTGGATATATTTCAAATAAAAAATAATTTTTTCACAGGTCGAAGTGTACAACCAGCGTAAAGTAAATCAACCCAGCGAAGACAACATGATGTAAAATATTTAATAAATAAAACTTATTGAGCAATTAAAATTGTTTATAATATTTTGTTTTTATTTTCTTGTCATAATTCGTCAAACACATATCGACTTAGACGTACAAAACCTTGAAAGAGAAAAAACTTTATGAACATATATTTACTGTTTGATTTGATTTGTATGTTTTTTTTTATAATAATATTGTTAATTGTTTGATTTGATATTTATGTATGATATACTAGTATATAGCAATAGAAATATTTTGATAAAAAATTAAAACTAACAATATTGTTCATCAATATTTGGTCTGTTCTCAAGTTGCAAATAAAATAATTGATTTGCCCAGTTTTTTTTTTTTTTGCTATTTTATATATTTTTCCAAACAATTATTTTTTCTTAATTAATTTTATTAAGAACCCTACAAATAGAACACACACACCTATTTTACTATTATTAATGTTCAAAATTAATCACCTTAGTACATCGCATAACCAACATATTTTAAGTGACTCATCCTACTTTATTATATAAAAGATTAATTTAATATTTTCTTTTTAAGTTAATGTTCATTAAAAAAAATAACTAGATAAACTTATTGAAAATCACGTTACTGAAAATTTGTTCCAAAGAGACGTATGATATTTATAGGAATAAGAATTATAAAACACCAGAATTATTAAAAATTTATTTTCCATTGGATACTTAATAATAAAATAAATATTATGAGTAGTTTTTTTTTTTTTTTGAAATAATAGAAATTTACAATTTCTAAAAAAATCTAACTTAGTATACAGAGTGTTTAGTAAGTAAAAAACAGGTCAATTGTTACAAACAATTAGAAAAATAGAAACCCGTTTTCTTACTTTTTGAAAAACCCATATAAGCACTAGGTAAAGCCAATCTAAATATAATAGCTCAGCTTACCAAACTCTTAAATTACTGTCAATAAAATAGTCATAATTTAGTTATAACTATTTATTTCGTAAAATTGGATTTTTAAATAAGAAATATAATAAAATGAGAATGAAACTAAAAAGATTTAGGCTATTTTTAGATTTACATTAAGATTTATAAATAAAGTTTTATTTAAAAAAAAAAACAATATTTTAAAGTAATCTATTACATTATATTTTAGTTTTCATTTAGTAGTATAAGAGAATTAACAATCAGAAACTATCTCCTGTTAAAACACAATTTTCAATTCATCATTAAATATCCACACAACAATAATTGCCAAATTTTTCAATTTAATGAAAATTATTGGACTACTATAAAATTTCATAGCTCTTTTTATACTTAGATAAAGGCAAAGTTAAAATTTTTAGAATAAAATAAATTTTTATATTTTTTCATTATTTAAAATTTTTTGAATCTAGTAATTTCAAATGTATCAGTTTAAAAACATAGTAATATAAGTAATTCATTTAAATAAATTATCCAAATTTTCTTTGTTTAATTAATAACATATCACTAAGAAAAGAAATTTTTATATTAACAACTTAAATAATAATTCATTTTTAAAAACTATTAACTATTTAAACTATATTAAATATATAATTCAAAAAATATGAATGTATTTAGGTATATTAATTACAATAAAATTGTCAAAACAAAATTATGGTGTAAGTCATAACAAAACTGAAAATTACCTAAAATGGTATAGATTATAGTATACTAAGTTACAATGAACTAAATAATAAATATTTACACTTAGTATAATATAAATAAAACATTATAAATTACATTAAAATAGAATACATATTTATATTAATAAATGTGTTTATAAAATACACACATATAACATTCATAATTACAAATACATATAGTGTTCAGTAAGTAAGGAAACAGGTTTTTAATTGTTCACATTGTTTGTAACAACTGACCTATTTCCTTACTTATTGAATATTCTGTATATATATTTATATATAAATGCATGTTTTATATATAATTTATTTTTAATTAAATAAGTTAACAAATTCTTTATAATGGTCAACTACATTTGTTATTAAGTAGAAAAAATATTTTTATTTATTAATTACATATTGCATTATGTTAAATTATTTTGGACACAAAAAACAAAACAAAAATAAAATTACTAATTTTTTAAGAAATAAATATTTGAAGAATAAATAAAAAATAACAACAGTAGGCTATGCATTCAACAAAAAAATAATAATAAATTAAAAATAAAAGAAAAAGAATTGACTAAATTGCATGTGTCAAATACAGAACAAAAGGTAAACAAAATGCCCACTCTATTTTTTCCTACACCAACACCCAAATATTGTTTTTTATTCATGAAATATATATATATATATATATATATATATGTTTATATATGTAAATAAAATAAACACCAACAGAAATCTAGAAAATTAAGTCTTGTCTCAAACAAAGAGATCATTATTTGTTGTTGTCCCTCAGTGATAATTTATACAATAATTCAATGGAAATAATGTGATAATTACAAAAATAATATACTGTGAAACAGTACTAATTATTTACAAATCAATATGTATATAAGATATATATGTGTAAAATTTGATCCTATCACAGTAATTGTGTATAATTTATAGACGCATTACATAATATAACAGTAATTATAACTAATATTATATTGCAATATGGTACAAAAAAAATGGTAAAATACTTATATGGCCATAATTTTTTTAATTCATCCACTTGCGACAATTTGGTGCTCCACAATTACAAGGGATCTTATGCTGATCATCTTCAATATCAAACTGATAATCATATGCCAACTGACAAAACAATAATCATAATAATTAATATTTCATATGGTTATTCATCAAAAAATTAAATAAAAAATATATACTATACCTCTTCGCCCCTAGCAATTCTACGTTTAGCAAATATAATAATCCGTAGTTCTCTATCAACTTCCACTTTTTCAGTTACACAGTTTGGGTTACACGAATGATTAATATAACGGGCTAAACCCCCTGATATGGTTGCATCGACCACTCTATCATCATCTAGTCGAAACATATAGATGCCTCGATTCTAGAAAAAAACAAATTCTTAGAAATTTTGTAAAAAATTACATCATAACATAGATTTTACCTTGGCTTCATATAATTTTTCTCGATAATCACATAATTGTGAACGAATTATTTCACCAATATATTCAATAACCATAGTGTGTTTTTCTAGATCTCGTGCTGCATACAATCCTAAACCTTGAATTTTTGACCTAAAAAATTACAAAGATAATATTTCAACTACAGAAAAAAACCTTTATTTTTAATAGAACTTAGTTTTTAACAATAATAAATCTACAATTTTTTTTTTTTTTGTTTCTCTTAGATTAAGACAGGATAATTTCCAATGTTTGACAAATGTAATAAATATTAATTAATTAAATATTTTTAGTTAGTTTTCTTTTTAATTAATTGAAAAAAAAAACTTTATAACTTTGATGCGTAGTTGAGAAAATAACAAAAAAATACTCTACTAGATACCTAATGCACTTTATTTTTTTAGATTTTCAAAAAATATATAAAAAAATTAGAATAGCCAGTTTTTAGAGTAAATTTTAAGAAAAAAAATTATATTATCAATGTCTATAGAAATTTAAAGTTTGTGAAGTATTAATTATTATGTGTTTATTTTACAGTATTAAATATTAATCTAAGTAAAAAAAGGATAAATTAAGCATATTTTTACATTGTAGACCGGTTAGAATTAACTAAGTTTTTCAATGAAAATTAAATGGTTTAATTCAAGAAGGGCTTATATAGAAAAAAGCAATTTTGAGATAAATGCTTATTTTTCACTATTACATAACTTTTGATAGAAACAAGATTGCAAACTAATTGTTTCATTTAATAGTTTTTTTTTTTATTTTTTGATATTGAAGTAATTTTACCATCAGTAACTGTATAAAACATGTATTTTCATAAGTCCTTTTGGAAGTTACTTTTAAAATACATCAACACTATGCTAATCAAGCAGTGCCTATAGGAAGGATATGGGTTCTGACTCCTCATTATGAGAATAATTATATGTTTTAAAATGCATTTTTATATTTACTAAAGAGGTAAATAAAATATTGTTGCTCATATTATAGATTTTATAGATTGTTGTCAGGGGTTAAAATTTACTACTAAACAATAATAAGATATTTTTTTACCAAATTCTTTCTTGAAACCTACTTCAAAAAATTGATCTTACATTTTTTGCAAATTTAAAAAAAAAAAAAAATTTGTTCAATAAATTAAAAAATTACTAATGATATTTTTATAGTTCTAAGTAAAATAATAATTAGAAAATAAAACTAAGTATAATTAGTAAATCAAAAGCTATTAGCCTCAAGGCTACCAAACTATTTGACTTAATATAATATCTGTGTAACTTATGTGCTAATGACCAACAGTTATTCACTATCATTGTTAACCTACTCTAATTAATTAAATAACTATTTTATTGTGATATACATGTAATAACAGGCAAAGGTCTATGCTATTGCAGCTTTTATTTTAATAAAAAAAAATCTATTAAATTAGTCAAATCATTAAGGACTATTCTGTAGATTAAGCATAAACTAGTTCTTAATAATTATACTGTTTAATAGAAACCTTAAGTGATTATAAAATGAACGCAAATTTTGTTATCAGACACACGTCTTTTTTTCACAACCCATAGACACATAAAATCTCTAATAATAAAATAAAACACCATAAATTAAGAATCTAACCTGGCTAAATAAACATTATTTCTCCATTCCTGCTTCATTTTTTTATATTGAGATGACTTGGAATGAACAAAATGTTTAGAATAAGGGCATGTTGGAGGAGCTGATAGATCTAGTTGACTAAGTAAGGATGATCCATGAGAAGAAGTAAATGATCGAGGTATGTGTGATCGTAATTTTCCTGGTAAAACTACTCTTCGGCGACCCTCACATCGAGCACATCCACTTGGATTAACTGCCAAAGGTAATTCCAAAAGTGGATTACGTCCATAACGGAAACGATAATCAGTCAGTGTTTCAACACCTGTATTAAGTTAATTATTTGTCACAAACACAGTAAAGGAATTAAAAATCAATGATATATAAATATATATATATATAATACTGTTAAAATTGAAATATATTTTTAAGCTTTATTATAACAAAATATATATTACTAATAAATATTATTAGTAGTAATTTTAAATTATATTTACAAATAAAAGATAAAAATAATAATTGATATATCCATAAAATTTTTTAAATAATGTAATTTTTTTAAATTTTCATGAGTAAACAAAAAAAAAGAATATATATTATTATCTAAAATTAGTATTTATAATTGGACCCAACCAAACCCAACACTCAATGCATTAAAAATTTAAACTTTTAACCCATTATTTTGGAAATTATTAGTTTTAAAATATAAACTGGAAGTGATACACTGGTATGATAATATTTATTATTAGATATTTCTCGACTGTAATTCTCTTTCTGTTTAGGTAAAAAAATATTAAAAATTTCAAAATACTGGTCCAAAATTGTTATCGATCAGTCATTTTTTTAATTATATAAATGTCTACTTTATAAGATAGTTAAATATATTGATAGTTAATATATTAACATCCTTATAAGATATAAGCGATGAAATAATCACTAAAAAACAAGAAATAAATGACACTTATCAATATCAAAAATAATTTTCTTAACTTAATTATTATTTTAAAAGACATCAAGTAGTTAAAAAAATTATAGGATAATTTAAATAATTTGTATACATTAGAGCAGTTATTATTTTTCAACTATTAAAATTTAATGCCAAGTACTTGTCATTCTATTTTATATAATTTATACAAATTTTTAATTAAGTTTGACTATTCTAAGTCAACTCCTTCACGTCCCTCAAAGGGTCTGAAAATTGACAAATAAGGGTAGAATTATTGTTTTTTATATGTCTCTTATTAAATATTACACATAAGAAAAATTGCACATAATTAATATAGCAGTAAATAATTTTGGCAACAAAAAGTATTTAATCAAATTTTTTGTAGAATTGACAAATATCTTTTTTGTGATAATGATAAATTTTACATACACCAAATATGTTCAAAAATACATAAAAAATTCTGAGTATAATAAATATAGTTTAAAAAACTAAAAAAACACGCTTTTAAAGCACGTCGAAATAAAAAGTTAAAAATAATTTTTAAAATAAGTTTAAAATAATTATGAACAAAAAATACTAGTATTATTGTGATAAAAGCGTGGGTGCTTTGTGCCATATTTTTCGTATATTGAGGCACCCACGCTTTTATCACAATAATACTAGTATTTTTTGTTCATAATTATTTTAAACTTATTTTAAAAATTATTTTTAACTATTTAGTTCGACATGCTTTAAAAGCGTGTTTTTTTAGTTTTTTAAACTATATTTATTTTTTACTTTTTAGTTTCATGTTATGATAGTAGTTACTATCAATATCATGGTTGTTACGGGTAACGGGAAATCAGGGTTCGATTCCGGGGAGGGAGTCTGAGAAACGGCTACCACATCCAAAGAAAGCAGCAGGCGCGTAAATTACTCACTCCCGGAACGTGGAGGTAGTGACGAAAAATGACGATACGGAAATCATCCCTCGTAATCGGAATGAATACTTTATATCTCTTAATTAGAATAAAGCGTGTTAATAAATAAATTTTAATAGTAATTAGAATATATATATATATACAAGTAAAGCGACTTAAGTACGTAAACGTATCATGCACTAGGTATAACCGTATTTTGTGGGCGGGCGGGTCGGACTAACGTTATACCTGAGGTATAAACGGTGGTAGGAATATATAAATATATATACGTAAGGCGCATTAGACGCGGGCGGTATTGGTCAGTCAAAATAAAAATTTGTTTATATATATATAATATTGATGACAAGCACGCGTGTACGGGTACGATAACTAAAAATAAATTTTTATAGGAATAGTGTGCCGTCGTGTGGTGAGCGAGGCGTGGGGAGGGGTGAATGCGTTATGACAGTCTAGTCTAGACGACGGAATATGCGATAACGTGTGGCGTTTTGAGAGTTACATACATACATACATACATACATACAGGTGAAACTAATATAAGCGTGTTAAAAAAAGGTTGAAATACATTTTTTGTTATACAAAAATTTCAACTTTCTCATGTCCCTGTAGAGGATTAAAAATCATATTATTCAGTCACTAAAATATTATTGATAAATGATTGGAAATCATTCAATATTCAAGGAAAAAATTTGCCTTAATATTTTTTTCCTGATATTATTTGCTACTTTATTAATTCTGTACAATTTTTTCTATGTGTAACATTTAATGAGATGTATATATCCCATTAAATAAAAAACTACAATTCTATACTTATTTGTGGTACACCTAATTTTCAAATCATTTGAGGAACATGAAGGATTTGGCCTAGAACGCTTTATCAAACTTTTAAACGCTTTACAAACAAACAAACGCTTTATTAAACTTTATCAAAAATTTATATTAATCATATAAAATAAAATGCCAAGTATTTGGTATCAAATTTTGATAGTTAAAAAATAAGGACTACACTAATTTACATTAGTATTATTGTTAAAAATTATAAATATTCCAAGAATGACATAAGAGAAAACTTTCAATTGGAACTATTCCTTCTACAAAATCACATTTTTGAATGATCTTAAAATATTTTTAATTAATTTTAATACTAACCTGGTAAACTTTCTAAAATTCTTACAATAGCTGGTTCAGTAAGCCCAAAAAGGCTGTCACCGCTTACATGCTGGGGGTGGAGTTTCAAAATGTTATTAGCAATTCTCATACTTGCTATGGCTGATAGAACTCTAGACCAGACTGCTCTAGGGCTTGAATCTTTTAACTCTAAATCTTCATGATCAGCTTCTTGAATAACAATTCTAAACTCAGGACGACCGTTAATTTCATGAATAGAACAAATGTATCTGCAACGCTTATTTGGCACTCTCATACTCCAAAACAATCTTACCTTCATTTGAAAAAATTGTAATAGTTCAATATTAAAAAAAATATATTTTAGAGGAGCTATTTAAAGATAAATATAAAAATATCTTACCACTTTGAAACCAATTGGATAAATAGCAGTTGACGTGTGAAAAGCATTTAGTTGATGGGGCAATAATTGTCCAATATTTAGAAGAGTTAAACTCCCAACACGGATTAAAAATTGATGAGAACTAGAATGATGCATTACAGCAGCAACTTGTCGATTCTCATCTCTGTCAATATATACTCGACGATGAACTGATAATGTCGTGAGTTCATTTTCTTTATCACTCTTTGGAGCATGACCACTACAATACAGTGTTTTATTTTTGTAAAATACAGCATCATCTTTTACAGCACAAGGTAAGTGATAATTTGATGAACAGCGATGTTTAAAGCATTTTAATGTTGCACCAGGTCGTTGACACACTATACATTCTACACTAAGAGATTGACGCAAAGCTATATCAACTTTGATCAAGGCGCCATTAACAGTTTCATACACATCATCCGACCACAAAGCACAATTCAAATGTACCCATTTGTCAACATCAAAATTCAACAACCTACAATACATGAATTGGTTAAAACCTAATTTGTCTCTTAATTCTATATTAATTTATATATACCTAGATGGACCATCAGATACACCATCACCAAGCTGGTGACAAAATAAACACATTCGTTTGTCTTCTGGTTGTTTTGGAGATATAACTGTGATACCCATACGAAATAGCATCTATAACAAAAATAGTAGTTAGTTTTAGTTTAGAAATTAAAAACAAAAGCAATTCATACTTCCATCAACTCTTTATCAGTTGTCTTTTTATGCTTAGTAGAAGGAGCAGGAACACTACTTGTATTCCAACGTCTATAAATGGTTCCTTTAAATGTTGCCTTTCCATCATCAATTATGGCTTCATTTTTGTTTTCATCTTCATTTAATATAGGCTCATCAATATCCTAAAAAATATATTGAATTAATACCATTAACTAATTTACTCTAATATTTTTAGTTTAACTTACCATTTTTTCAACTATTTCAGTTTCTAGTATAGCCCTACTTTCACAGTCAGATTTCAAACGTTTAGGAGGAGAACCTTCAGACAAATGATTTACAATTGTTATGGCCTTATCTTTAGACTCTGAAGGTGGACATAATAATGAAGCAAACGTTTGAAAACAAAGAGTACTGCAAAAATATATCTCATCAGCACATTCTTCAGTAATTAAAAATGGAATTTCACTAGCTTTTTTCTTCACTAAATTATTCAAAATTACTAAATCACAATGACGACAAAATTTGGCAAAGCCATTTAAAATAGTCTGAATGTCTATTGGTGTTCCTTCTTTCCCATCTTTAGTTTTAGACCTATAGAGTCCCAATTTATGAGACATAGGTGTAACACTTCTTTCAGTGACTTTATAATTAGTAATATCAGGTAAATCAAGTAAAGTAGCTAAACCCTGTAGAACTCCAATTATATCATCAGCTGCTTCAGATGTTATAGTTAATGTAACTGTCATGGTATTTGAGTCTCTTAATGGTAGAACGGGGGATGTTCGTGGGGGTGTTTTTCCCACTTGAGTTAGTGAGCTAGGTCGTCCTCCTTGATTTTCTTTATCATCTTCTATACTAAATTTGTAGTTTGGTCGTGGTTTCAGAGCTAATGGTGCTACAAGCTGATGAACAGGTGACATATTTCGTGTAAAATTTAACAAAGTATCTGTTGAATCACTATCATCATCAAAACATTTTAGCCCTTAAAACAAAACAAAAAATTTAAATGTTAAATAAAATAGACAAAATAAAATATTTAAGTACCAGGATAATGAGGTGGTGTTTCACATGCTACCAATTCTGGTGAAGAAGAACTCATTATTGTATCAGGTGTATCATCTCGATCACGCCCAACTTCAAACTTTTTTTCGTCATCTAAAAAAAATTTGAAATTTAAAAAAGAGTATAGTCTATTATACAGTAAAATTATAAAAAAAATAGAAATTATGTGTTGGTATAATATTAACAATGTAATAGTGAAATCATATTGTCTGAATAAAATAATATTGGTTAACTTACTATCAGACTCAAATTTAAGAGGAATAAATTCTTCATTATAAAATCCTCTTTGAGTTGATGGTTGTGGTAATGGTGATACAGGTAATAAATCGCCAAAAGGTTTTGTATTATAATAATCACTTTCACCTGATAAAGTAGACAATCCCATTTCACCTTTCAAATCTCCTTTTTTAAAACTGAAATTAAACAATGAAAATTTTTTTTAGTAATAAATATTACTTCAAATTCTAAGTACCATTAACAAAATATTTTCTTCGAGATAATAACAGTAGTATTTAAAAAAAACTACTAGATAAAATTCGTATTTCTTATATTCTACAACCTTAATTTATTTATAATTCATTATATTATATGAATTGCATTTAAATTTTACAAAAAAAAATTGAACTTTAATTGTAGAGAGCAGAACAATTTTTTTCTCTTAGTAAAAATACTTTTATATTTAACCATTTTATTTTACCTCAAAAAATTTATGGTATAATTTAACATAATTTACTGAGGTGTTACCCATTGGTGACATCCTCTAGTAGTAAAATTGAACCATGTAATAATTTATTTTATAAAAAGAATTAATTACACACACACACACACTCACAAAATTAGTAGCAACTATCTTATTTAACTTTATTATTAGATAGAGAATTATTTGTTTAAGTAAAAGTTATGAAATAAAATAATAACTTAAGACATTTTAATAGTTTTTTACTCATGTAAGAATTTTATGTTTTTAATTGGTATTTTTATTAGTGATGTTACAAACCCTGATTTTTGAGGTCAAACTGAACTTATAAACAAAATTAGACATGGCTATACTTTTAATTTTTCAGCCAAAACCAAATCCAATCAAACAATCCAAAAATTTAATCAAACTCGAATTGCACATTAATTTTAGTTATTGTCAGACAAAACTTATTTTATATAAATTATTTGATTGTATTAGTTTGATTTTGAAACTAACTATTTTCTATTATATCGGTTTGTAAATTAAGCTCTTTAATCATCAACAATTTTTTTGCAATGTTAATATTTGTTTATACATATTTATTATTTTAGCTGAAATCTAATTAAGCTCTTTCATTTCTAACTTTAAAATCATGGTCAAGGTAACATAAATTTTATTTTCTATAAATAGGCACTACTGGATGAGTCTTTTAATGTTAGCCACTCAATTTCTCTAAAAATAATTATTTTTATTTTGTTTTTGCTAGTTACATATGTAATTCCATTCATCTGTTATTAAATATTTTTTATGTTCATCTCTTATGTTTCATAGGATTTTTAACTTTATTTTTTTAAATAACAACATGTAAATTGGACTATTCTATAAAATAGAAAATAATTTAATTAAAAAAAATAACTGGTTGATAATAATTTTTAGACCAGTATTTCTGAAGTTAATAATTTAAAGTAATAACAGGAGGTGAGGAGTAGGTGCTGCTATTTTTATTAATAGCAATTTCATGGGCAAACGCCTTCCACCTTGGTGTAAAGATGTTAATTACATCCAAAGTACTGGTCCAAAAGATGTTATCAACCAATCATTTTTTTCATTTGATCATTTTTTATTTTATAATCTAGTTAAGTATGTATGTAGCCAGTTAACAAAATTAAGTTACATCATTATAAGACATAGGATGAACATAAAAAATATTTTATAACAGATAAATTAAAGATATATATGTAACTAGCAAAAGCTAAAAAAAATTCATACATAAATTATTATTTTAAGAAAAATTGAGTCACCAGTATTAAAAGAATCAGCCTGTATATTTTTAGCTTAAATATTTTTTATAAAATTTATATTATACTAACTCATTTTGGTTAGCAATATCACCAATACCATAAACAGGACAGGCTGTCAAATTTTGATTTAAAGATGGCTCAATTACACTCATTGGTTGAAGTTGACGAAGTTGTGACATAAGAACATCAATAAATGAATCATAATCTTCATCAGGTTTTGAACCCTATTTAAACAAGTAAATTTACACATAATTCAAAAATACTATAATTATATAACTACTTTTCTATGACGTTTTTTTGGAATAACTGTAGAATTCACATCTTTACCCTGACTCTGTCTACGTTTGGCATAATATTGTCTACGTTTAATTCGTTTTTGATCTATTAAAAATAATATGCATAAATAAAAATACTAAAAAAATTTTTTTAAGAATGTACCTTGAGGGTCTACATTCATAATATCTATTGGAATATTAATTTGATTTCCAATGTCTGTGGGATCGACATTTCGAGTAGAATTTTGAGGTGAGATTAACTCATCTGATGACATAAGTTCTTTTTTAACATCTTTCTCAGGGCTATACCTAGTAGCTGATACAGGTACTTCAATCTTATTATCATCTTCAGATTGTTCTTGTTTAATTGCTGCATTTATAGATTCCATAATTGAGTCTGTTGTAGCTAGAGTTCTTGCTGGAAGTGATTGAGTTTGTGGGCGAGTTAATGTTTTATCTGATATCTGCAATTTTGATTGTACTAGTGTTTGTGATTGTAATGACTGGATTTGTACCTGATCTTGAGATTGTGATTGTGTTAATAGCTGCGGCTGTGTTTGACTTTGTGATATTGTAAGAGATGGAGTTTGTAATGATTGTTGTAAATCAGGCCGATTATTAGACTGTGTTTGTAATTGTGATTGCTGTTGTGGCTGCGATGGTAATGTGTTAAGAGAAGTAGAAGATTGAGTAGTTGAAATTAAAATTTCTGACTGTTGTGTTATAATATTAGTAGATTTTGGAGATTCTGATTCTGCTTTTGAAACTTGAGTATTAGATGATTCATTTTCTTCCTTTTTAGGTGAAAGAAGGGATGGAAACAATAATGGGGGAGTCGGAGAAACTGGTCTAGCAAGTTGAGCTTCAAGAGAAGGCACAATCGGTAAACTAATCGCATTAGATGTTGGTGTTTGATTTGCACAAGCAGTATTTTGAAGAAGTTGTTTTAATAAAACATTTTGAGATTCTTCAACAATTTTTGGAGTGCGAACATCTTGTTTAGAAGCACTTGTTACTATTGGTAGCTGAGAAAAAGTTTTAGATTCTTTTTCTTCAGATTTAGATATTATTTGAATTGATTTAGCAAGTGTTGAAGAAGAAGTTGTGGTTGTATATGATGTAATAGATTCCCAGGGAAAATTTTGTGATGGACTTTGCAGCACTGAAGTAGTACGTGTAGGCAAAACAATCGTAGAATGTTTTATATTGTCATCTGATTTTGTTGTTTCAATTTTAATGAAGCCATCTTTTTGCTTTGGTGACATAATGTTACTCAATATTTGTGCTAAATCAGAATTTTTAAGATTTTCAGACTTTGCCAGTAAAACATTTTGTTTACTTATGTGTTGTTCTTTGAGTGTATCCGAGTGATTAAGAATTATAATGTTTTTATTTTGAGCAGTACCATGAGATCGAAGTAAATCAGTAACTTTTTTGAATTCTTCTGTCTGATCAGTTTTTAAAACTGACACAACATGATTTTCTTTTTTTAGTGGAGGAGATGATACTGGTGTAACCACTGATTGTTGTAGAGATGGGGTAGATTTTGGAATTTTAGCATACGAATGAAACGAATAACTTGGATTTACACTACTTCTTTTTTCCTCCGCTACTTTTTCTTGGGATGAATCTTTAGAATCTTGTTTATGAAATTCAGATCTATTAGTGTCAACTTGAATATTAGCAAGAGGTTCAGGATCATTAAGAAGTTTATCTAAATTAAAAACCGGTTTTTCTGGTGAACCACTCTTTTCTTCTTGATCACATTTAATACTATCTCCAAGTTCATCAAAAAACATTAATCGGTTCATTTCTGAAGCCTCATCTTTTGGTAAACCACCAAGTATACTATCATCATTTTCATTTAATAGAAGACTTGGAGAATTAATTTCTCTATCAATTTCTAAGAGTTCTTCACCAACTCTACTAGAATTCAATGATATTTGTCCAGGGTCCATAGTCATGTGTATAGTTGATATCATTTGTAGATCATCTAATTCAGAACTATCTTTTTTACAGTTATCTAATAAATTAACATCTTTATAAACAGGCAGATTTCGATTTTCTTCATTTTTTGGTGATGTAGATATTATCATTGGATCTGTATTAATTCCTTCTGGAGCTTCTTTTTGTTTAGATATTTGTAAGGGAGATGGTGATGATGTTGTTATAGGAGGTGTTCTAGATTCCTCATCGTCAGAATCACCATACTCTAAAGAAACTAATGAAGATACTTTTGATACTGGTATAGCATTTAAAGGCATATCATTGCTTTTAAATACACTTCTGGTAACCTCATCTTGTGTATCTTTATTAACAAACTGCCTACCTGTACTCCACATTGGTACACCACCTCTAAGGCCTAACTTAGAGTAATAAAAATCTTTAGGCGGAATAAAGTTCTTTCCACCTCGAAGTCCTAACTTAGTATATTGATATCCATCAGATGGAACATTTATGTCTTCTCTTAACTCTTGTTGCTGCTGCTGTTGTTGTTGTTGATCAGTCATTAATGGACTGCTACCTACATTTGTTCTTCTAGCAGACATTGGACTTGTTGTTGGTCTGATATATGGGTTCTGTTGCATTGGACTCATCGGAGAACTTGGTGGACCAAGGTTATTTCTAGGACTTTGTGATGGTCTTGGGCTGGGTGAACTAGGTGGAGGTTGAGTAAATGGTGAAGTTGCTGGTGGATTTGCATATGTTTGAAGCATTGGGCTTTGTGGCATCAATGGAGAGGTGGTAGATTGAACAAATTGATTGTGTCTAGGACTTTGAGATGGCATTGGAGAGTTTGGAGTATACTGTACAGAATTAGGAGACTGAACAGGCTGTGGAAATTGTTGTGGACTTTGTGACAGCATTGGAGACTGTGCTGATATCATTGGACTATTAGGTTGACAATATTGCTGATTATTTGGAACAGGACTCTGTGGCATTGGTGATAATGGTGGCTGATTTGGACTTTGTGGTGGATGTATTGGAGATTGTTGTTGAGATTGAACAATCTGTCTTGTAACTTTTCCTTGTGATATAAGTTGTTGTTGAAGAAATCTCGATTGTTGCTGTCGTTGCAACAATATCTGTTGTTGTTGCTGCTGCTGCTGTCGCAATATATTTGGGTTAACAATTTCACCTGGTTCTTGTTTGATTATTTGTTGTTGAGGTTGCTGTAATAAAACAGACTGCTGCTGTGGAGACAACTGAGCTTGCATCATATTTTGCTGTTGAGGAGAACGTTGTACTAGCTTTTGCTGAATTTGAGCATTATGCTGAGCCATGATATGTTGCTGCTTGGCTAATTGTATCTGAAGCTGTTGATGTTGAAACAGTTTCTGACCCTGGTTTTGTTGCATCTGTTGCTGTTGTTGTGGTTGTTGAATTTGATGAGCTTGTTGTTGTTGCATTTGTTGAATTTGTTGTTGAACTTGATGAGCTTGTTGTTGTTGCATTTGTTGATTTTGCTGTTGAACTTGATGAGATTGAATTTGCTGTTGTTGGTTTTGCTGTTGAACTTGATGAGATTGAATTTGCTGTTGTTGGTTTTGTTGTGACTGTAACTGGTGTTGTTGCACTTGAAGAGACTGTAATTGTTGATGCTGAGATTGTATTTGTTGTTGTGGTTGAACAGAACTTTGACTATTTTGAGATGGTAAATGCATTTGATTTTGATTATTTTGAAGAATTTGCTGTTGTGGTTGTGATAATTGTATTGCATTTTGACTATTTTGTGTTTGCATATGTAGTTGATTTGGATTATTTTGAGACTGAAGAAACTGTTGTTGCTGAGGAACATTTTGCTGTTGCTGAGGAACATTTTGCTGTTGCTGAGGAATACTTTGCTGTTGTTGAGGAATACTTTGCTGTTGCTGAGGAGTATTTTGCTGTTGCTGTGTAATATTTTGCTGTTGCTGAGAAATATTTTGCTGTTGCTGAGGAATATTTTGTTGTTGCAACTGTTGAAATTGTTGTTGCTGTTGAAGTATTATATTCTGCCTTTGAATAACAATTTGTTGTCTTTGTTGAGGTGTTAGTTCTGTTTTACCGTCTTGGCTACCCACAACAGCTTGTTGAACAAGTATTTGTCTCTGTTGTTGGTTTTGTTGTCCATCATTCATTTGTTTCTGAATTTGCTCAATTTGTTGAAGTAATAATTGTCTATGCTGCGATAACACCATTTGTCTTTGTTGTACAGCAACAGGATCTTGGTTTGATGAACTACTCAGTTCTTGTTGTTGTTGAGAAATAAGTATGGCTTTTTGAGCTAGTTTCCTTTGCAAAATAAGCTGTTGTTGTTGAGGAGTTAATTGTTGGAAGGTTAGACGTGGTTGAGACTGTTGAACTTGAGAATTCTGACTTATAGTAACATTTGTTACAACTTTAGAACCCTGATATGTATTTGACGTATTTGCAGATGGCATTTGACCTTGTAATGATACAAGGGTTGGCCGTGCTCTTAATGTTAAGCCATCTGGGGAACGTACAAATCTTATAGGTGTCATTCCGGGATGTCTGTAAAAGTAAAAATTTAATTTAATTAGATAAAATTAATCAAATTTATGCTATAAAACTAATTAATTAACAACTTACCTTGATAATTGATCTTGATTACTTGGACTTAAATTTGAAAGACGTGGACTAGATTGTCCTGGATTACGAATCTGTGAAGTAAGACTCGCTCTAGGTGATGGTAACGATTGAGGATTATTTGGACTGTATGGGTTTTCATCACACTGCAACCGAAAGTTTAATTTATATAATAATGACAACGTTTACTTAACTATAAGATTAAAATAATCTTCTTATATAGAATGTTCAGTAAATAAAGAAACAGGTTTCTAATGTTTTCATTATTCATAAGAATTTACCTGTTTCCTTACTTACTGAACACTCTGTATAAGAAAACACTGAAAAATTACATAACGATGTTTGATTTTCAAGTTTTTTTTTAATGGCAGAGTTTAGTAACAATATCTTTGAATATGAATAAAAAATTTTGTTTTTTAAAAACTTAATATTTAAAAATTGTCACAAAAAAGCTCATTATCGCCAGTGTTTATATAAAATTAAAATATTAAAAATTATTTCAAACATTTTAATACATAATTGAAGAATTATTTAGGTTATTAGTAGATTTATTAGAGTATTCTTTGCAAAAAATTTTTATTTTTTATAATATTCCTATAATAAGGTAAATATGTGGTTAAATTAATATTGGATAAAATAAGGCAATAAATTATTCAAAAATAAACTACTACATCTAAATTATACCTGAGACAGTGGAGTTGTTATAGTATTGTGTGGAGACATAGAATTTTGTTGCTGATGGATTGAACCAGTTGAACTAGGGGACATCATAACATTAGGAGATTGTGGACTTTCTGCAGTAGCTGGACGATGTTTATTTTTGTATTCCTTTGAATAAATTGTCTATAATTAACTTTTAAAGCTCACAAACGAGTTAAGTAAGTAAAGATTAAGAGATAATAATAAAAAAAAATAAAGACTAATTAAGAAATACAGTAAAATTACATAATTTAAAATTTATTTCCAGTTAATGAAAATTAATTTAATGATTCTTAGTGATAATTGAAGTACTATGTAAATATAGTACAATTAGTAACCTAACTAAAAAATAAAAATTCATATTATTATTAAATTATATTATTTAATTTAGTGACTAAAATTTCATGATAATTTATATGTAGAGCTGATATAATTATATAGGATTACAAAATCTTGATTAATTGACTCATTCAAAATTATGTAATATAGTTGAAATTTAGAAATTAAAAAATAATTAGATAAAAATGTAACTACTATAAAACCTACAAATAATAAATAAGAAAATTCATAAATTGCAATTTACCTGAACAATGGCCATATGCTGTTTATTTTGTTTACGACTAGTTTCCAATAATTTTTGTAAAACTTGTTGTTCAGCAGTTATACGTTGCAATTCTATTGTATCATGATCTGACAATTCGTTGCCTTGTTTTCGAGCTACTCTTTGTTTACTATTCATACTTTTCTTCATTTTTCTCAACTTTTGAACCTCACTTTCATAATGTTTTAATTGTTTAGTAACTATATTACTTTGTTCATTTAGCCACACTTCATATGTGTGCTGTAATTGTCTATCTTGCTCTGTAGCTATTACATCTGGTGGTTGAGGAGGTGGTGTCAATACTGGAGCATTAAAAATTGGAACTTTTAAAGCTATCAAAAAATATATAATATTTTTAAACTTCAATTATTGAATATTAAATTAAAAAAATATAAATATTATTTATCCAACTCATTCAATACTAACGCTGCTCAGAAAATTGTTGCTTAACACCAGACTGACCTTGAATTTGTTGAACTTGATTCCAATTTTGAGAAGGCTGTGTAGGTCTTTGCACATATGTTTGTCTTTGCATTTGCAATTGGTCACTAATTTGATGTTGTAAAACTCCAGAAGCACCACCTAATTTCAAATATTATTTATGAAATTTAATTTGCATATAAAAAAACATTGATATCAATTAATTAAAGAAAAAATTACCATGCTGAATTATAGGTGGGGAAGCAATTGCATTACTACTAGTTGATGAATTCATAACATCAGCACGTAATAGCTCAAAATCAGCATCACTCATCAAAGCAGGAAGAGTAGAACCTGATGATGAAACATTGCTAACAACATTTGATGAATCAGAATTTTGTCTTTTTTCTTGTTCACGCTTTTCTTGCTCTAATAATTCCTCTAATAATAAAGGTTGCTCCTAAAAAAGAAATATTAAGAATACGGGTTTCAAAGTTAAATTAATATAAATTAAAAATTAAAAAATTAACTACAAAAAAATATATATTAATAATACTAGTAACAAAACTACATTAATACTCAAAATTTAACTCAATGATACAACATTTTTTTATATATTCAATAAATATGTTCAACTAAGTACAATTTTAACCTATTATTTTATAAACTCTACAATGAGTGTGAAATATATCCATAAACAAACTCTAAATAAATAAACAAAAAACAACAAATTTTTAACGCAAAATATTTATTATTTTAAACAATACATAAAATGGAAAAAGCAAAAGATAATTAAGTTTTTTGAAGTACTAACTTAATTATAGAAAATATATATACAACATTAGACAGGGATTGTATGTAAATTTAAAAATCAATAAATAACAAATAATCTTCAATTCTAACTTGAACAACCAGACTGGAATGTTTTTTATTTTATAAGTTTTGGTTACTTTAAATCATTTTAAACACTTTTTTTCTGTTTCAAACTAGTTCTCAGTTTTCAAATTAAATTTGTTTTTATTTTAATTATTTTTTTTTTAACTTCAATTCTAATACCGGTTGATAAAGATATGTTAATTACTTTGATATAAATATTTATAATTAACAATGAAAATAAAATTATAATCAATTGATAAGATTTATATAGAAAATAAAAAACCTAAATGAAGCATTATTTTTATTTTTATTTTATTATTAAGGGTTTTAATTAACACTTTTTAGTTTAATGTATTAAGGATATCTTTTTGATTCCAATGTATTTTAAAGATTTCAATTCCAGAAGTGACCTTTTTAGTAAAAGGTTTCAGCTATACAGGTTTTAATTAAAATTATATTTTAATGAAAATATACAATATTCTTTGACTTAACAGTAAATCTAAGACTACTCCTTTATTATACTAAATAAAAGTTTAATATACCAAGTGATAAATAGTGCTTAACTTTTTGTAATACAAATGAAGAATTATTTAGGTGTTTGAAAATTTTTACTTTATTATAGTACCTTAGTTCATTTAAATAAATGATCAACAATATTACTCTTAATTAATATATTAAATAAACAAGATAAAATGAGTAATAATAGATAAAAATAATTCAATACCCACAATTATTTTTTATTTTACCTAAATAATTTAATATAATAGTAGACTTAGTCTTGACTCAAAAATTAAATAAATATTTTTGTATATACAGAGTGATTTGTTATGTTCTATAAAATATTTGAAAATAATATGTTTCATTTAATTTCTTTCCAGAAACTTAAAGTACTCTATAAAATTAATAATGAAAAAAAAAATTGTTTTATTCTTCTATTATTATTCCATATAAACAAGAATTGTCACTTACGAGGGTCTAAAATTAAAAGAACTAAAATTGGGATTATTATTCTGTTCCAACAAATATATAAAATATATTTTAATGTGAAAATGATATACTATTAATTATATATTGGAAAGCACATTTTTTTTAAGAAATAAAATTTTACAATAGTATAAATGGAAAATGAAAATTTAATTTTGCTATTGTGAAAAATAAAAGATATTGATATACCTACTATAGGTGCAATCATGATACAATATTTACTACAATATAGTTATTAGTAATAACTATATTTTGTTAATTATTAATTATTATTTTACAGCTCCTAGTTGAGAAATACCGATATTAATAATCAGAACTATACCCCTACACTATATTTTAAATAACCAACAACTTCTGTAGCACTAGTTCAAACTTTATTTTCAACCATTAACTTTCATAACCATGTTTGTTCTAAGGGGTTGGCCTGACCTAGTGGGTAGAAACGTATGTTTCGACGCATGAAGTCCCAAGTTCAATTCCCAGAATGCCAACAAGATTTTTTTTGTGATTTTCTTATTGGCGTCTGATCTCTGGTGCAAGCCGGCCATAATACCTGTCTCGTCATCATTAGCCTAGGCTAAGAACCATCTTTGACTCCCTAATATGTGAAAGAGGACCACCACCATTTGTGGCATGTCAAGTTCAGGAAATAGAAGAATGTAAAACTGATCATACATTTGTTCCAATATGTACATAAATAGAGTAATTTTATCTGGTAAGAAAATATTTTATATATAAAAAAAAATATTATTTTCTTAAACCAATAAACCCAAGAGGTATTATTTGAACATCCTCAGTAAATTTGAGTCAATACCAAGTTTAGTTTAGTAAAACTAATAATGTGATCAGATGTGCCGGTGAAATTTTTCAATACTTTAGATAAATAAAAATATTTATCTCACAATATAATATTTAACATTTCCTTCTTCCATATTTTTAATTACCTGAAGTAATAAAGGTCTTCTTTGAATTTGAACACCCATTAGACCGTCCAATAACGTATCATTGAATGGTAAGGAAGCCCTCAAACGGACCTGAAGGGCCACAATTGTTAATAAGATCCCAACATTTTTTAAGATATACTTTTTTCAATATAACAGTTAAAAAATTGCACTCAAAATATTATTTACAAACTATTTTAGTTTAATTACTTAATGATTTGTAAAAAATTTTGTTATTTTAAATAGTTAAAAATTGCATGCATTAATTTTTTTTCAACTACTGTAAAATCGCAAAAACCAATACATTTTTTTATGTATTACATATTAATAATTAACCAATTTACATAAAATAAGTTTATTACTTGATTATGTCCTGGATATGGAGGTGGAGGTCCAGGATATGGTGGTGGTGGAGCTAATTGCCGAACTTGAGAATTTCCTTGGGGTAAAATTTGTGGGGTCACACCTATACTACGATTTGGTACCATTGTTCTCTGCATTTGTAATAATCGCTGCTGTTGTGGTACAGAACCTTGAAATAATTAAAATTTTTTAAATTGATTTAATACTATAATAATATTGGTTAAAAATTAGCAAACAACTTAATAAGTTCTGAAATTTTACAATAAAATTTATACTTTAGAACATGGTGGATAACGTAATATTTTACCTGATGCAATAGTAGCAATTTTAGGTAAAGATTGATTGCTATCTCCTGAAAAGTTAGCCATAAAATTAACATTTGTTTCCCTATTTTGCATCACATTATTAAGCTGACTATTTTGTTCTTGATTCATTTGAAGCTAAAAATTAAATCATTATGGTAGAGTGCATGCAATTTAGTAAAATTTGTTTGTTAAAAATAGATATAACTTACATGTGATCCAACATTTGAAGGATTTTCAATTTTTGGTGAATGGGGTACTTCTTGTTCATATTTTTCAATACTTAAAGTCTGAGGAACGTTATTGTCATTTTTTCTATCATTCAAATTACTTAGTCTCTGCAAGCCATCTGTTTCTTCTTTAAGTTTAATATCTCTCTCATCGGTGGATTTATCATTTGACACAGGTTTGTTATGGGTACTTTTACTAGTTTCCTCATCATCAACAAGATCATACAAAATATTTGTTTTATTACCACAATCTAGATTGTCCAATTCAGGATCAGCATATTCAAGTATATTGAAATCAGCTCCCATTTCAGCTATAATTATTAATATAATTTTAATAGAAGTAAATTTTTTACTTTGTATATAAAATATTATGATTAATCACATTAAGTTTTAAAATAATAACTGAAGAGTACAAGGGAAAATGGTAGTAGGCCATTTTTTGATTTCGATGTTATGGCTTGATTTGATAGCCCATTGGCAGTAGGCAGTGGTATTAAGTAATAAAATCTATTTGGTGAAAAATGATTTCATTTTTCTAGTATTAATGTGTTCATTTCCGTTTTACTATTAAATAGATAGAAATTTATAATTTTATTTTTGTTCTCCTAAAAAAATTATTGAAATAGACTACTACTGTTCTTTTCCTGTACTTTTCAATTTCTATTTACTCGTTAATAAAAGTAGAATGCAAAGCATAATAAATATTACCCAAGAGTTCATCATCATCATCTAAATCACCCAAAAGAGCATTAACACCATCAACTTCACCAATATTGTGACTGTCACCTTCTTGTTGTAGTTTTTCTAATTCTTCACTAACACCATCAGGCATTTCTTCATTTCTACTATCAATAGTATCAGCACCTGTACAAATTTTTAAAATTATCACAATAACAATAAGTTTACTGTTAGATATGTAATTTTACATTTCATTGAATTTTGTTGATTTTGCTGTTGCAAAACATTATTTTGTCTATCCATAGATGTGTTTTGAGTTATTGAATTTGGATCAGACATAACTGAAGTAACCTCATTAATACCAGTGTACTTCTGATCCACATTATTATCACTAGTATCTAATTGTAAAAAAAATATATACATATTAAGTAATCAATGAAAAAGTTCAGTTAACTATAATTTTGTAAATTCAAAATAATAAATTAAACTAATTTTACTTGGATTTAAAATTATTTAGATGGATTAATAGTTTTCAAATTTTAATTTTAATTCTATACAATAAGAATGTTTTTTATGACACAATATTTCATAATTTTATTTATCAATTTAATTGGTTTATCATTTCAAATTTTGACTGAAGTTTTTTAATATTAATTTATACACATTGCAGAATTATTATACTTTTAATTACCTGAAAAATGTTGTTGAGAATGTTGTATTATTTCATAAGCTCTAGTATTTTGTTGTGTCAAAGCTTGTTGTGTAATAGGACTCTTAATACCACTGTTATTAAAATGAGATGAATTCATATTACTATTAACAACAGCTGCTCCTCCTGTAGTAGATCTCTGTTGTTGAATCAATAACCGGAATCGTGGATCTAACAACTAAGCAAAAAAATGAATTTAAAATACAATATGATGTTTACAACAATATTTTTTTATTATAATCTTACATTATTCTCATAAAATACTTCAATATAATAAAATAACATCTAAATTATATTTTTTAGTAGTAAATAAATAAATATTATTTAATTCAAGTATCTGAAAATCTCAGAAAATATAATCTGGCAGAACATGAATCGGATAACATAACATTGTGGTCAAAGACAAAAGAATCTCTAACAAAAGCTGCTGAGAGATTTCGAGGTAAGCACATTAAACAAAATAAAAATCATTGGTATAACTTGGAGTGCCAAGTTGCGATTAACAAGCGAAGTTTAGCTAGACAAAATATGATACTGAATCCTACACCAGAAAACTTTAATGAATACTCAAAGCTTAGAACTGTAGCCAACAAAGTAATTAGACAACAGAAACGCTCAATGGAAAAAAAAGTTTTAGAAGATATCGAATTATATAAGAAAGAACCGAGACTGTTTTTCAAGAAGTGTAGGTCGGTTAAGGAAGGATTTAAAGCACGTATTAATTTCATCACAGACAAAAGTGGTAATATAATTTCAGAACCTAGCGAGATTGTAATCAAATTTCAAGAATTTTTCGAAGAACTCCTAAATAACAAAAATAACCGCATCGGAAGTAACAATAATGAAAAGTACGAAGAATTAGTGTATCATACAGCAGAACCTGAACTTCTAGCACCAAGTATCGAGGAGATTGAAATAATCATTAAATCACTAAAGAATAATAAATCTCCAGGGGATGATAACATAAATTCTGAACTACTAAAAATTGCAGGAAAAGATGTACTAATTAACCTACACCAAATTATAACGAATATATGGAACACCGAACAAATAGAGCAGGAATGGTCGTCATCAATTATTTGCCCAATTTTTAAGAAAGGGGACCCAACAAAAGTTGATAATTATCGAGGTATTTCGTTATTAGACACTGCGTATAAGGTGCTCTCAATAGCTATCTTACGAAGGATAGAAGCATTCGCTTTTGACATAGTAGGAAAATATCAATGCGGCTTCACAAAAGGAAGATCCACCAGTGACCATATCTTTACGCTCAGACAAACAATGGAAAAGTATTATGAGTTTGACAAAGACTTACACATGATATTTATAGATTTTAAACAAGCGTACGATAGCATCGACAGAGAACAACTATGGATAGCATTACAGAATTTTGGGTTGCCCAAAAAACTTGTAAATCTAGTTAAAAGCTGCAATTCTAATGCTACATGCAAAGTGCGTTTCTTGGGAAGGGAGTCAGGGGACTTCGAAGTCAAGTCTGGTTTAAGACAAGGGGATGCGCTATCCCCGATTCTATTCAATATAGCATTGGAAAGAATAGTGAGAGATATGAATGAAACCCGAGAAATGGATTTAAATGGTAAGGGAACATTGCTAGCATATGCTGACGACATTGTCATTCTTGGAGACTCTCAAGTCGAAGTAGAAGAAAGTACAAATAAATTAATTAAGTCTAGTAAAAGAATGGGCCTCAATATAAATGAGAGCAAGACAAAATATATGATCATGAGCAGGCGTCCAAGAATTTTACAGAATCTCTCCGTAGATGAATATACATTTGAGCAAGTAGAAGACTTTAAATACTTGGGGGTTAATTTGAATAATAGGAATGATATGCATAACGAAATAAGGTTGAGGCTGAATGCGGCAAATCGAGGATATTATGCAATGAGCAAAATATTCAGTTCTAAACTTCTCTCCAGAGAAACTAAGAGAAAGCTATATATTTCCTACTTACGGCCCATAGTAATGTATGGTTGTGAAACGTGGTCAACAACTAAAGGGGACGAGACAAAGCTACTAACATTTGAGCGAAAGGTTCTTAGAAGAATATATGGTCCCATACATAATACGGAAACAGGTCAATATGAAAAGAGAACTAATGCAGATATTGAAAGAATCTTTAATGGACCAAATATCCAAAAATATCTTGTATCAAAAAGATTGGAATGGGCCGGACACATATGGCGAGATAAGGACAGTCTAATGAGACAAGTTTTGGTATCTAAACTAAATAAAACACGCCCCAGAGGAAGACCACGTCAGCGTTGGCTGGATCGGATAAAGAAAGATTTAATTCAAGTAGATGAAANAAAAAAAAAAAAAAAAAAAAAATTTAATTCAAGTGCAATTTAAAACAGAATTTTAAGTTAATAATGTGATATATTTATATATATATATATATTTTTATTTAAACATAGTTATTCATTTGAGAAATAAATCTTTTTTTTTACACCTTTTAAGCTTACCTGAAATTTAGGATCTGTCACTCGTTGACGAATAATCATTTGAGTATTTGGAGCACCCATTTGCTGAAAAGGCATACGTTGAATTTTAACAGCACTAGGTGGTAATGGTTGACGAAAAGTTGGCCCTGATGAAGGTGATGCATCAAAATCTTGGCTTTGCACATTTTGTGTATTTAATTCTTGATTTTGAGATTCTTCTGAATTCCATAATCGTTGATCAGTTGGGAGATCTTTTTTAAATTGTTGACGTTGCAATAATTCTCTTAAATGTCTAGTCATTTCTTGATTAGCTTGGGGTGATGAAAATACATCTTCTCGGGCACGTGGAGATGTAGGACTAAAATGCACACTTCTTTGTTGCTGAACTACTGAGCTAGTAGATATTGGTGGACTAAATAAATCAGTTGATCCTGGTGTTGGTTGAGCACGAGTATATTGGGGAGACGGTGAAGCTGATGCCGGACTAACAACTCGAGTTACTTTTAAAACTGGTGAAGGATATGGTGACCGTGATTGCTGTTGAGAAGTAATGCTACTGGGACTTTGCAGAGGTGTAAGTGAACCATCCTTTAAAAATATAAATTTAAATTAAATTAGATTAAAATATCATAAAATTATGATATCAATTACCTGATTTGTTGATACTTGTAATTGAGTAGCTAAATGTGAAGTGTGCACTAATACTTGTTGATCAGAATTGCCAAATTGATTAGTATCGATTGATAAATTTCTCTGTTGTACAGGTACTCTTTGATAAACTAAATATAAAATTAATATATTATTAAGACTAAACATCATCAATCCCAATCCCAACTATTTGAGGTCGGTTCTGCCTTAACAATATGACAGTTTTATACCAGCTATCAACCTATGCAACTTCATTATTGCTGAGAGAATCACTAAGGGGATAAAGTTTGTGTTTTTGTTAAAGTTCCCAAATGGGTGACCTATGGAAACTAACAGCAAAGTGTATAGCTAAACATTAGCGCTAAGATGGCAACTGCGCTACATCACGATTAAAGTATTATTTTGACTATAATATATATCTCTTTAATTTCAATAAAAAAAGGGTGTTTAATGTTTACCTTGCCCACGTTGATCTTGTACTACTTGTTGTTGTTGAACAGCTTGAGCTTGCTGCTGTCGCATCGCTTGAAGCTGTTTCCACTGGCGCTCATTTTCAGCTTCTCTTGTTCTCTGCTGAGACATCATTTTATCTTGGTCCTGTTATTATATAATAAAATTAATTATTTAGGTTTTTATTTTTATTTTTAATAGTTATAAATGAAAAATTTAATAAAAGCTAGGTTTTATAATTATATATAAGCATGATTCATTAAATATTTTTGTGCCATATTTGAAAACAAAACTATTGAAAGTAAGTCACTTGTGGACATAAATAATCCAGATAACATTTTAATATAAAAATTTAATTAATTGTACTTAAGAATGAAATTTTAATTAGGTTTAAAATAAAAGTATATAACTTATTAAGGATTGCCACAAGATAAAAATTTTTAAAAATTGTTGATTTTCCAGACAATTTTAAAAAAAAACTTGTAGGTATAGATTATTATTCATTATTTATGTGAAAGAGTGATTTCATCAAACTCCTCTCTAATTTTTTTTATTTGTTAACTAATTGGAATTTTCAAATTAAGAGGTGTTGAAAACCAAAAACAACTCTTTATATCCCTTGCTTAGGTAAATTATACAATAGGTATAAGCAAAAATTTTAAAAAATCTAAGATATTTCTCTAACATTTCAATGATTCTCCTCACAATTTTGAAGTATTACTTTTTTAGGTATTTTAAACTTGTGGCAACCATAACTAATTATTATTAAGTCATACAACTTAACTTAAAAATAAAAAATAAATATTAATTTAAAATTACAATAGAACATAAAATTTAAACACAAATTTTTACTAAAAAAAATTGTATTTACTTAATAAATCATCATATATATATGCATTTAAAATAGAAATAAGAGTAAGAAAAGAATTGTTACTGATTATAGAGAATGTATCTAAATATATCATAACTCTTAGTAAACTAATCAGATCATAAAAGAAGAAGTCACTTCAAAAACCTTGTTTAAAAAAACATATTTCTTTATATAAACTTTTTACATATTTAAGCTTAAAATAGCTAATTCATAAAAGAGTAATACATAATAAGTCACCATTAATCACACCCTTAAAAATTAAGTCAACTATTTGCTAATTATAAATTAAATTAATAAGCTTCAATTACTAAAAAACTACATCACACCATGCTTTAAAATAGTTTCAAAAAAATGATTTTATCATAAGATAAATACATATCAACACACAAATATAAATACATATATTTATGAATAATTAGTTGATAAATTATACATAGCAACAATATTAGTATATAATTATGATTACCAAATAAAAATCTATTTGTGAGATAATTTTGATCCTTTTTAAGATATCATTCAAATTACTTTTAACAAAATAAGGTTCTTAAAAAAAAAAAAAAATTATTTTGGCACACGCGATAGTTGTACAGAAATTCTACAACTCTACATCAACTAAAACTTAGGTATTAACTAACCATCACCAAGAACAATAAGTTTTATCAAAAAACTAATTTGGTCAAGATATAAAATATAAACAAGAAAATTGACAAAATGATAACCATTTAATAGCCACTCATTTTTGAAATTTTTAACTAGTTAAGAATTTTATAATCAAATTTTTTTTATAAAAAATCTAAGTCATCAAAAATACTACAGAAACACTTCAAATTAATTTTGATTTAAGCACATACAAGTAGCTTAGTTTTAACTAAAAACGAAAATATCAATTAATGGAAAAATAAAAATAACATATGCTGGATAGACAATCTCCAAAGAAAATAATTTCCCAGAACGTGCAAGTGAACGCTCACCACAGGGTCATAAGTCTCTTGGCCCAGGGATGGGAGTGTGCGCATAATCTCAGAAGGTGTTAGTACACGTATTTGCTGATCAGAGAGTGGAGGTGAAGAGTTGATCGAATTATTAGTACTGGTAGCAGAAATATTAGTTTTACAGCTCTCAGCACCTGCTGATGATGAATCATTTCTCACCAATTGAACATTACGTATAGTACCACCAGTTGATTGAGATGTTATTATATGCAATAGATTATTACGAGTGTCAGTTTGATTTTTGGCATCTAAGGTAGCTATGATTGAGTTAGACATTATCAATGAAGGAACTGTTTGTATTATATGTATGCTATTTGGTGGATAATGCAGGGTTCCTCTTTCTGATGAACCTGATGCCACATATTGATATTGAATTGGTTCAGATGGATTTTTTTCAGCAGGAATAATATGAATGGTACGTAAATTAACAGGATTAGGTGATGGAGGATTCGGTAAAACTGGTATATATTGTATAGTAGAAGGATGTGAAGGTATTGTTGTAGGAAATGTTTGCTGAGATGGATTAGGCTCAGGTTCAGATTCAGATTGCTGAGGAGAAGCTTGTGAGTTAGTATGACCATCACCAGAGGCTATTAGTATGGCAGGTTGTAACAGTTCTTTATTGGGACACACCTCTCCGTTGTTAATTGTTGGACTCTGAGTTGCACTGGATGTTGAACTGGTCCGATTGTCACTACTGGTATTGTCATCCTTCATTATCTGTTTTGTTGTAATAGGTACCCATAAAGAACAAATCCCAAAAGCAATACAAGATGAATAATTTAACTTATATAACATTTTAATCTATTTTAACTTTTTATTTAAGTAATAAATAAAACTTTGTACTTCAATTTTTTTATTTTTAATTCATAATAAAAATAAAATAAATTATATTAAACTCAATATACAATTGATTGTAAACAATTTTCTAAATATTTAATATTTACTAAAATACTCTGACTATCTAGAAGTAGCTTGGAAATAAGATTAACATAAAAATGGTAATAAATGTAAAATGGATTTTTAAACTAAGAAATAATTTTAGTGATGACATTTTATTAAAAAATTCTATTTTGCATCAACTAAAACTATTTTTTTAATATTATAATTATAAAAACAAATCATATTTAAAATATAATTAAATTTTTACTAAAATAGGTCATTTTTTTAACACTAGTCACTTGTTTTCTCTTAAAATAATAAGTAAGTTAATATGATCACTGTGTATAAATGCTAAGTGACGTCATCATTTTTCTTAGCCACACATTTAAAGCCATTTTTTTATCATTTTTTATTTTATAACAATGTTTTAGTATTCTCTACATGTAGCTACATAAAATGATGAAATAGCGTAGTAACTCTAGTAAATTTACATACAGAAAAATTTAAATAAAAAAAACTTTCAACGTGTTAGAAATATTATTATTGATATATTTTAGTATCATATATTTCTTGATTTAACACTTATTAATTACCTTTTTATTTCATCCCTTATACTTTATAAGGACGTATATGTATGTTGCCATTACAAAAAGAGGTTGACATACTTATAAATATTATTATATATATATATCACTATATATACATATATATATATATATCAATATACAATATTATTATATATATATAATTATCACTAATAAATCGAGAAATATACAACACTTATAAATATAAAATATAATTTTCTTAACCTAATTATTATTTTAAGAGAAATCGAGTAACTAGTATTAAATAAATCACTTTTTATATACCTATATGATCACATTATATATAATTTTTTTTTTATGAAAGTTTTTTAATAAATATTGACTATATTTGAAAGATTACTTTTGAAAGTTTGTACTCAAGTGAAAAGTGTACATGGATATTGTTTAAGTATATTTTAGATAATATTTGTGGAATTATTGAGTAAATATAACTATAAGTAGCACAATTTGGAGCTATAATAATAACTAACATTATGTTTAACCATAGTAATTAAGTAGATATTTGTCTTAAGTCTATTAAGTAATTCTGATTATTTTTATGAAATTGTATAAGATAAAGTTAATCATACTTTGTGTAATTATAATATACTGTCTCATATTTTTCCTACAATTTTCTTAACTGTTAATACATAAAATACTTATATCATAAAAATATTTTTTTTTAATTTTAGACCAGGTAAAGAAGGAATTATGTTTAACCTTGCTCTAATTTTAATAGATAGAAATATTGCTATGTTGCAAACTCTTCTAACCTAAACCTAAAAATTATTAACTTAAAATTATAGATTCCTGTTTACGCTTTGAATGTTACACCTTAAATTAATCTTAATGAATTTATTTTTATATTTGCAAAAAAACTATTATTTATTATGTTTTATAAAAATAAAATACAACTTTAATCATTTTTTGAAAAATGATTATTTAGTAACAAAAATAGGGACAGTAAACTTATTAAATCATACTGAATATACATATAAATATGTATATTCATACTAGATGTCTGCAATGATTGATGAAATTGGATTTAATTTAAAAATTGGAATATCAAATTTATACAAGATCATAATTGAAATTTTATACAAACTAACACATAATCTACTAAGTCTTCATAATCAATACTATGTTTTCCAACCACTATACGACAAAATACCAAAATTTTACATTAGCCTAATATTATTTTGTGTGAAGTGTATTTTATACAGCTTTCATATTTTAGTATGCCAAAAAGTCAAACAATTTAAGCTTAGAATTTATTTTATAATATTGTGATTAATCAATGCTATTTGGAAAAAGAAATAAATATAAATTTTCCAAAATTTAAAATTCTATTTTTTCAAACTTACAGCAACTTATATAACTCATAGTTAAATGCTAAGGTAATTTTCAAAAAGGAATTTTTGAAGATCCCAATACAAATATACTATTTAACCTTTTATTAAATAAAATTGTGTATTTATGTTACAATGTTATGAAATTTAGGGTAAATATTTTAAAAAAATATTATAATTTTTCTTTAAATTGTTTTATGTTAGTAATTACTAAATAACGTCTATAACAGCATGTGTAGAAAATTTCAGTGCTTTGAATAATAATATACTAAAACCAAAAAAAAAATGTCTGATATTTTTAATGTTTATTCATTGTATAAAAATGAATGCCCCAAAAATGTGCAAAAAGCAGCAACTGATTGTTTTTAACGCAAATCTTGATTTAAATGTTTATGTTAATTATATCCCATTAAGCTTTTTGATTATATAACATAAGCACACACATATCTGTATTTAACTGAATGTTCATACAGAAAAGCTATAATATACACACCCCTACAAATTTTTGAAATATTATTTAAAATTGGTAAATGATTTATGTAATATTTTCCCAATTTCAAAAAAATAAAAATCAAGATGAATGCTGAATTTTATTTTTTTGTATTTATGAAATATAGAAGTACCTGATAATTCCTTAAAATTATTAATTTTAAACACATAAAAACTAACACTTACCTGTTGTGCTTTTTTCTGTCTAAGATTAGTTCGGTTTTCTCGAGCTTTAAGTAAAAATGGAGCTTTTTGTTCAGGAGACAATGTTCTCCATTTTTTAAGAATCTGTCTTGATCTTTCTGGCCAAGCTACATAATAGATGTTATTTTATTAAAAGTAATATTACATAAAATTTTGTATTAAAAGAAATATTCCTGAAATTACATGGAAATTCTTTTTTCCATTCCGGGTGAGTAAGATTTGCATACAACACAGCAGATATTGAAGCTTTGTGACCTAGTGTTTCATCAGCTTCCATCTTTTGAGAATTTCTTTGATTGTTATTTAAGGCTGTGGACTGAGATCCTATACCTTCTAAGCTATCTTCACCACCACTATTTTGAATCCAAGGGCTGTGTGGTTCAGAAAAGGCGGGACTAAATTGAGATGGACTACTAAAATTCAAAATGTAACTATAGACTTTGCAAACCAGACATTTTTTATAATTATAAAATAAAAAATTATAATTTCTAAACTTAAAATGTTAATTTTGCTTACTTGCTGTATTCAGAATGATAAGGAGACATCCCTGTTGTATAAATAGGAGAAGATGATATATTAGTAACAACAGGAGGTAAGGCAGGAGCTGGTACTTTTCCACGAGAAATATTAGTTGGTAGACCTTTAATAATAATTTATTAAATAAATCATCTGTTCAAATTTTAGTTAAACTTGTGAATTCATGTACATTTATCGTATGGATATATAAAATAAAGTAAATAAAATAAAAAAATTTAAATAATAACCTGTACGTGATGGAGACATAATTGGAGGATGACTTTGATTCTGAGTTAACACAACACCATTTTGGCCATGATTTATTGGATTCACATTGTTATTATTCATTATTAACATATTTGAATTATTAGGATCTTGAGCTTCTTGAGATGCATCATCCGTTAAAACAACTTTAAAAATTTCTTCAACGTCTTTACTATCCATATTAGGTAAACCTAAAACAAATAGGCAATTTTTTAAGTGTATAGTTAGCATTCAATAACAAAATCATTAACTTTATATATTTTTGTCATTAAAAAAAATAATAAATAGAAATAATAAAAACCTTACCAGTCTCTCTGACCATTGAATCTAAATTAAAATGAGAACCTAAAATCTCACTGAACTCATCTTTCTGTGCAGAAGAATTCATCTCATTCATATTAGATTCTTCTACAACTATACCAAAATTCAGAAATCAAAATTATTAAAAGTGATTAAACACTATTATAATACAAAAAATTTAAATAATAGACTCACCCTCCATTTCAGTTTTAATATTACTATTCCGTTCATTCATTATTGAATCTAACAAGTTATCTGATAGCAAAATATCCTTTAATGCATCTTGATCATTAGAATTTACTATATCTGACTTCTAAAATAACAATTACACAATGAACTTAATAATAAAAATAATTAGAGAGTTAAAATTTTGATTTAATAAATTAACTTTAATTGACTTATAAAGTAATAAGGGTGAATTTTCAGGAAGAGTTTTAAGTATTTAAACAATTTTGATTAAATATTTAAATCAGAAATTAATTAAAATGAATCACTGAGAAGAGAAAATATGGAAAATTTAATTTTAATTTTAGACTCATAAATAATAAATATTTTTCTTATTCATATTACATATTATACAACTTAAGTTTTTTAAATAAAATTGTTTCATAATATAAAACTAATCAAAATGAAAAATATTCCAGGTTTCAAACATATAAATACTCGTTTACAAAAGCAATGTTTATACTTTGTCAACAACTTTTGTTTGAACAATACGCTCAACTTCTTCCACTTTGATTTCAGAACATTTTTTTGAAACTTCTTTAGTTATTTGTTTAGCTTTTATATCTTCCATAATTTTCAATTCAGCCTATAAAATTAAATAGAACTTACTATTTATTAAATTAATAAAAATGAACTACTCTGAAAAATAACATTTTATCCTATATGTTAAAAAAAATAACCCACTCTTATACAAAAAATTATCATAATTAATATTTACAAACTTAAAAACATATTTTAAGTATACTTAAAAATTTAACTAACCTGAGATAATTCTATTGTTTTAATATCGTCCTCATTTTCATTTATTTCTTCAGACTCACTACTGTCTAATATTTGGGCAGCAACACTGCAGGCATCTAACAAGTCTCTACCAAAGAATGCATCTTGTATATAATTTGGGTAATTTTCAGCAATTTTACTTTTGGGTTTCTTCCAACGATTGGGCTTTCTTCGGGGTTTGTTTTCTTCACCATCACCTTCTTGGGTATTTTCTTCATCTTTATCCTTAGATCTAGGCATTCGCCCTCTAACAACAAATCCACCAATTCCTAATTTTTGAAGATTTCGCACTCTTTTACGACGCAAAACCATCACGCCTGATTCTAAAGTTACAATACTAAATCCTTCAGGTGGTTCAGGTGGACGTCCATCTTCACGTGGTTGAATTTCCATGCCTTCTTTGTAAACAGGTTCTGGTTCTGTTAATTCTTCTTTCATATCATCAAAATCCATTTTATAAGCATCGTCTGGTTGAATAGCTGAATCATTAATTGTATCTAATATTAAAAATTATAAATAAAATATTAATACAGATTTAATTAAAAATATATTTTTTAGCTACCTCGACTACTGCACACAACTGATTCTATAGCTGCCATAATAGCAGCTTCTTTTTCAGATTGTGCTTTTTTCCAGTCTTTTCTTTTTTTACGTTGATGACACACTTCTATTCCACTGTTAAGATGCTTCATGTGCTGGACTCCACATTCAGATAAATAAATACCATCCATGTAATGTTCATTTGCTATTCCCCTTAAACAATCAGGGCTATTTTCTCGGGATGATGCTTTTAATTTTGTCTTTAGACTTAAGTTTTTATTTAAATGTGGAGGAACAGAACCCCTTGGACGACATAACAAACATATATAACTATCTTCAGCACATTTTTCTGCATCTTCTTCATTTTCAATTTTATCACATTTTCCATGAAGCCATCTATAAAATAGTTAATTTAACACTTTTAATACTACAAAATGATGTATAAATATAGTAAATATAGTATTCATTCAAAATTATTATATTTTATATATGCATGAACAAAATGATTTCAAACATTATTTTAGATAACTGTAGGTTTTTTAAATATTATGAAATAATAATTATTTACCTATCACATTGATAGCACTTAATGATCAACTGATTGTCTAAATAAGTTTCTTGACATGAAGGACAAGTGCTTCGAGAAGCACATGGCCCACACTCTGTATAATTATTTAGCCAAATACAATTTATACCAGGATCATTTGAACCACAAGTTAAACACTGAGAACACCTTAAAAAATGTAAATGTTAATAGTAAAAAACAATTGAAAATTATAAATATTCAAGTTAAAAATAAAAAAATAATTACATTTATTTCAGAAATAAATATTAGCAATAGTTTTTAAAATTTAGACAATATATTAAATAACATTATCGTAAGTTAATCCTTTTCATTAATAAACATTAATTAGAATACAAAAAAAAAACACTAATAAAGTTAAGGAACTAAAATAAAATATAAAAATAAACCTTTAAGTCAAAAAAAATCCCAAAAAAAAAATTTACAAAAGAACATAAATAAAATTATAAATTGAATTCTACAACACAATGAAATATCAATTTTATGCAATAAAAATAAAAATATTAGTTCCCAAGTATCAATTGAACTTTAATATTTTTTTTTTTTCTAATGACTGATCATATATTTAAGAATAATCCAATAAATTTATTAAAAAACAATTAAATTATATCGGGTACTTACCATTTGCATTTCCAAGTACCTCTTGGCACATAATCAAGTTTAGGTTCAGTGCAATATATATGATATGATATGTCACATTCATCACAAAGTATGAGTCTAGATTCATCATTTCTTTGTCCACATCCTTCACATATTGTACAATCTAAACACCTCCATCCTTTTTGTAAAATAACTTTAGTAATCTACGAAAATATTTAAAGTTAAGAATAAAATCATATTATAAGTTATTATTTTCAATTAAGATATTTACTTTAACATTGACACAAAATGGATGATAGCATTGACCACACTGAGAACATGAAATAAGACAAGCTTCTTGATCAGTCCCAAGTGACCCACACATCACACATATATCTTGACCTAGTACAAACTTATCTTTAGCAGAACACAAAACAATTCTATTTTCATTATTAGGATCTATCTCATTGGGTGAGCATTTTGAGCTTAAATCTGACAGAGGTCTCTGAAAAAATATTAAATTTTTATACTTGTATAATTTTATTTAATATAAAACAGTCTAAATTTGTAACAGTCAAAATATTGTTATACATTACTTCTATTATCTACGAACATTTTATAAAGATTTCTTAAATAAAAGAAACATTAATGAACAACAATTTAAATTTTAACAAGACCTATTTTGATATAAACTAAGAGAAATACGTATAAAAAATAAAAAAATATAATTTATTTTGAGTTCTTAATTTTGTAGTATGCAAACTTTGTAAGTATAATAAAATTTTACTTACTTGTAATCCAAGGCCTGGGACACCAAAAATACCCCGCATCCTTCCACGAGGTCTTTTTCTAGGAAAATCAGCTAGACGCTGTCCTTTCTTTTGATAAATCGGTTTAAGTGCAGCATTCAATTTTCCTAAGCCCTTAGCGCGACTTGAATAAGCAGAGAGCAATAATCGCTTTTTAGCAATTTTACTGGCAGCATATGGCTTTCCTTTACCCAAACCATAACCACTAACACGATTATCCTCAAAGTCTTTACTGCTCTAAAAAATAAAAAATAAAATGAAATTCTAAAACATTAAAACTAGTGATGTGAAAAAAAAAGAATAGTAACTGTCCAATTATTCAATACAAATTCAATAACTATTCTATTAGTAAAAATATAGCTATGAATAGTTTTAAAACTATTTATAAATAAATTAATATTTTATCATTATTTCAATAGTTTTATTGAATATTTTATGTTTTATATTATATATATTTTTTATTCATACACAATATAAGAAAAAGTGTTCACAAGATCATTGGCTGGTAATCTTTATTATAACAAAGATTTTTTTTATTATTTACAATAAATACTTTTATTAAATTATTAATTATAATCAAGTATTTAATTTGAAAACAATGATAATACTTTTAAAATGATCCATGATTGACCGACTAAAAGAAATCCAAAGAGATTTTTGGTGTTAACAATAAAAATAGCTCATATAATTATAAAATGGGACAGTATTTTATGTTGTCGCTATTAAACAAAGTTAAAAAATTAAAATGTGCTGTTTGCTCTATCAGTATTATGTCTATACAAAACAATAGAACACTATGGATTATCAAGTGTAAAATATGGCATTAGTATTCATAAATATATTATTAGTGGAAAAAAAACTTTTCTGATTAAACTAAATAGTTATCTTTAATAATCAAAAACATGAAAATTACTCATTAACATATTTATATTCTTATTACAATTAAGTGTACTTAATTATGATAAAATTCTTTGTTAGAACTTTTCAAATAGTCTACTGAAAACAATTTGGTAAAACTATTCAAATATATTTATATCTATTCAACAGTTTTTAAGCATTTCAATCACTAATTAAAACACTAGATCATTTTTGTAAAAATTTTAAAACTACAAAAATATTCTTATGTTAGGATTGAAAAAATTATAATAATAAAATTGTATAGTAATTCAAGACAAGACATACTTTAAATTCAGAATCTTGTTCATCAGCTAACTGAAATACATCCATAGAACTATTTGAATCACCATACTCATCAAAGCCATCACGACGTCTTTGAACAGCATTTTTACATAGTGGACACATATAATCAGAAGCTGAATTTTTACTATGACTTGTTATATATTCAGCTTCTGGATCACATGCTCCATGAATGTATTTTCTACATGCTATACATTGTACCATTTCTCGATGAGCAGCAGCTCTATAAGCTCTATGACATAATGGACACGATGATCCTTTATTTCGTTGTTGATAACAAGAATCACATACTGTGTAGTGAGCATGCCATCGAGAAGATAGCCCAGCACCTGGTGTACGAGATCCACAGTCTGTACATATTCGACAACACTAAAAAAGAAATTAAAATCTTAGGTACTTATTTTTCTTTAAAAAAAATAATCTTTAACACATACTTTACACTTCCATCCAATTTTAGGAATGGTTGTTACTTGAGGTCTAAGACATCCTGGGTGATAAGCTTTATCACAACCTTCACATAACATCACTTTAGTCTGTTCAGCTGGTTGTCGACACACTTGACAAGTTCGACAGTTACCACATTGCCATCCAGCTCTCACTCCTACGTAAATTTTATAAGTTACAGGTACTTTGTATAATATCAAAATTGTTAATCAAACCTGGATATAAAGCTAATCCTATACAGACTCCATGAAAATGATTACCACAAACTGTACACATCATAAGATTTGAAACATCTCCAAGTGTTGAGCAAATACCACAAGCAACATTAGCTGATAATTCTAAAAGTTTGAAATTAAGTTAATTATTTGAAGAACTTTTTTTAATTGCTATAATTACCCATTAGTGGAACATGATCAAGGTGAGAACTACATATTAATGCAGGAACAGACATTTCTTGGAATGAAGCAGAAGCAAAAATACATGGATAATGAAAGAATTTTAAACAATTTGTATAGGTACAAGGAGCACTTGCACCTAAGTGACCACAATAAGAACAACGCCGCATCAAACTTTCTAATACAAGTTCAGGAACATTTTCTAAAGAATCAGATGTTTCACACTTAACTCCTTGAGTCCAAGTAGCGCAGAACTGATGCACATACATATAGCCACCGACTGACTCAGATTGCTCAAATAATGAATTTATATCTGGTACATCTAAATGACCAACAACACTAAGTTCATCAACTGGTTCAAAACTGCTAGTAGAAAATTGTTGCTGCCTGAAAAATTATAAAATATTTTATAAATATATTAATTTACAATAAATTTACTCAATATTTTGCATAGTTCTTTAATTTAATTGATAAAATAGTAATTTGAAATGAAATAACATAATAAATAACAATGAATTAATAACATTAAGAATATATTAAAAACATACCTGTAAAATAAACTTAGTTATTTATTTTAAATGACAAATAAATGAATGATTTTATCATGAACTAATTAACTTAATAAGAAAAATACTTGATCTATCAATAATATCTTTAAAAATAACTGTCAATATTTCATCTGTATTTCAACATATTTTAGTTATTAAATTATTTTTGTTTAATAATTAAGTTTATAAAAAAAAGTATCAATATTGAAGAGATATATCATTGTAGAACACTAAGAATCATAGAACAGTTACTTGAATAACTTTGATAGAACAGTGAAAAACTGTGTAAATGTGACTCTAAATCAGATTTTATTAAAAAATGTTATTTCCATTCTATGTCTAATAAAAATTACATATAATTAGGTATTGCATAGAAAAATTACTAAATATTATTTTTGATGTTGTATTATGTATTTAAATATATGTTAAGTATTCTATATTCAAAATCAATAACAAAATATTTATATTAAATCAAAGAATTGATATCATTTGAGAATTCTAGTAAATAATATAAATAAACATATATCTTAACTTACTTAATTTTAGCAGCAGATTTTTGTCTCCGATAATGAACAGTAGGTGCCATTTCAGCAGTTGGAGACTGTAATGGCATTGGTGTTAATTGCTTTGTAACCAACTGTTTTGTAAATTCTTCAAGACTTAATTTAAAATTTTTATCCCATTCAAGTCTTAAAAATGTGCCTTGTCCAAGTTGACTACGCTCGCCTAAATTACAGAATGCACATACTTTTCCTGGCCTATAAAATTATATATTAATATGCTAATAGTTGAATTTAAAATTAATATCTACTTTTTTATTACATAAGACTTACCAATTTTCTTGATACAATAAACACCTATCATCTACAATAGGATCAGCTCCAGAAATTGGAGTTATAATTTCTTCAACTCGAGAGACTGATGGAGATTTGCCTTCAGTATCTTCCCTATAAATCACAATAAAATAAAGTAAATATAACAGTTCTAAAGAAAAAATTTATGACATATTTTACCTTCTCCATCGCTTAATTTTTAAATTTAATTTTTTCATTTGCAATGAAGGATTTGAATAAGTTGTCAGAGATGTTGTATTTCCTACTGATGAACATAATGATGTTTCTTCAAAGTTACTTTCAGTTTTAACATGAATTTCCATTGGAGTTATATTAGAAGTATTTTCTTCAACATTAATTGAAGCTGCTCCAGCAGAAACTCGAGAATCTTCCTCTTGATAATCAGGATCATCATCCATATCCTCATTATCATCATCATCTTCATCGTCATCATCATCATCATCATCATCATCATCTTCCTCTAATAATGTCACACCATTATCAATATCTTCATCTGAACATTGATCATCCAAGTCCATTTCTTCAGATTTATCAACTGATGTTTTAGACATTTTTAATTTATCTTCCATTTCCTATAAAATTAAAACTATTTGATTTTTGTTTAATAATAACTACATAATATATATTACTAACTATAAAAAAATTATTAAAAATCTCATATAAATAAAGTTGGTAAATTATTAAATGATTTACTCACTTAAAATATTAGATTATTTCTAAAACTCAAAACGCAACTAAATTCGAAGGTTTAAAAACTCCATACATACTACACTAACATCAAGAATAATGCTCAATAAAATTATATTTTATTTAAATACATGAAAATACCTATCACTTCATATTTTTTTAAATATTAATTTGTAATAATAGTTACACATATAAATTATCTATGTTTTATAATTTTAAAATAACAAATTTTTTTTCATAAGAAAATTTTATTCCATAAGAATTATTATCATGTATTCATAATTCTTTATAAAATTATTTTGAAATTTTTTTTTATTTAATCAGACAAACACCAAAGGAAATTGATTTAAAAAAATAATTATATATTAAAACATTGAAAAAATTAACAAAATTTATACCTATGAATAAAATGTAAATTTATTAATGAAACTTGGATTAGTATATTCATTTATTACCATAATTCTAATAGATGATACAAACTAATCAGGTGTAAATATAAATTTATATTATAATTGAAATAAAATAAATATATGTGACAAAAATTAATAAATGCTAATTAAACATTTTAATCAATAATGAAGTCCACAATACTTCAAAAATTCTTTAACTTCCATAACTCAGAAATTTCTTTAGACATTATATAAAGCTTTTTTTAATTAATTGAAATCTATATAGTTACACTTACTAATTAATAATATATTGCTTTAATTAATCTGAAATACATAGTAATCCGAAGACGGGGTAACCGTCGGAATGTAGGGAGGGGACGACGCTATCCGTTTAGTCGAGCTTTTGCCGAGGTTTCATCACATGGATACTATGTACACTGGAACACAGCGTAATTGGAATAAGAAACTTAAGATGAGATAATTATAAAAAATTATTTAAACAATAATAATATAAAAACAAAAACGGATTGACTAACCATTTATGATTACCGCAGGGACAAGAAAAACATTTTACATTATCGGATAATCAAAACAAATCGACAACAGCTAGCACCACCGCGAGCCAAGATACAGTTTAGCCAACATAACAATAAAGGGGAAATGACATTCTGCTTACAATAAGGTTATCATATTTATTAGTCTTAGATAAAATAAATAATTGTAATCTTCATTACTGTAAGATAAGAATATATAATAATATATTGTATTAATATATATATTAAACGTAATTTTAATTATTTTATATTTATTACAAATTTACTTAATCAATAAATTAATTCATAAGATCAAACTTACGACAGTTAAAAATATTCAATAAATCAAATTAACCATAAATAACGATTACAGGATTATTATTAAAGTTAAACTTACTGATATTAATCGCATTTTTTTAATAAAATAGTAACCATAATAATAATCCCCCTGTTAACTGTATAATAATTATTGATGACTATTAGATTTTCCATTAAAACGAATTAATAATTAAACATGAAACGGAGGCTAATATCTTTCACTCTTCAAATTTAGCCCTCTTTCAGATTCTTGTAACATCTATCATCTTCACCTATCATAAAAAAATATAAAATAAATTAAACAAATCTAATAGCATCAGTCACTCAAGCATCTTAATTATTTTTAAGAGGTCATAGCAAAAAAACTGTAAGCTAAATAAATAAGTCTTTTACTCTCTTTGACATTTAGGTATCCGACTGCATTAAAATAATTTTTCGTAAAATAGAAGGTAGATTTTAGGGTCATGACTTTAAAATTGAAGTCGTAAGAATTTCGGTTAACAAATAAAACAAATTACTAGAATAATAACACCAGTGGCAAGTTGTATTTATAATATTTATAACAAGCAATTATCTAAATTTATTCCTAATGTAATAACACAATTTTTTATGCAATGTCATTAATATTTATTCACAGGAAAATTGTTAATATAAAATACATAAAAGTTATATTTTAATAGGTAAGAAATATTTTTACATTATTATTATGTGAAAATATTCAGAGAACAAATTAGTATTAATATCACGAATGCAGGATAAAAATATTAATTAATTCATAATATATATATATATACTTTAATCAATTTAAAAAACTCTAAATTGTTCATTCGCCCACACAGTTGTTCTATAATAATTTAATGATTTAATTATAACTTTCTATGTAGATAAAACGCGAAAACTGTCTCTATTGCCTAAACTAGATTACCATCTTCGATAATATCATTATAAAATCATTTAAATAGACTGCCATATAAAAAGTAGACAACTCAGTAAACCACAGATATTTATTATTATATATATGTAATCTGTATTTACAAGACGGATGGTACATAAATGAAAATTAGGGGATTACGCCCTTCTAAAATTAAACTTGAACCCAATTTTTTAATTATATCATGACCTATTTATAATATTTTAGGTTCAATTATAGTCAAGCGAAGAAAAAATTTCGAACCTAACCAAAAAAATTTGACTTTTTTCGTCCTTCTCCAAATACTGAACAAATTTCCGCCCATGAGTGGTCATAATCAGAGGTGTTGTGGAGCGTATACGCGGGTATACGGCGTATACCCACTTCTTTGTTTTTCTGTTATTGCGTATACTTATAAAATCATGAGTGATACGCGGGTATACGGCGTATATCCACTATTAGTTTTTTTATTAGTGCATATACGTATTTATAAAATAGTTAAAGAGTATAGACTAAAGAATAAAATAAAAAGTAATACGTGGGTATCGAATATAGGTACGTTTGTCATAAAACACAAATTTTGAATAACTATTATCAGTTTGTTTAATCTCTACAGTCATACCACATATAAACATATACCTGAAGTTATAAACATACAAATATGGCTCGAGACTATTATCATTTTAAAAATAGAATATAAATGTAAAACAAAAATAAATAAATAGGATAATGTTTATCATTTCACGACAATTTTATTGATAAAATTTAAAACATCGATCAGAAATTAACGATATAGCACATACTAAGTTGAAACTGAAATTTATTGGGTTAACCTATAGCTGTTGAAATTGGTAATTTGTATTTTTCCGTAATAAACCGTTTACCAACCAATCTAGTATTTAATATATTACCTATAATGAATTAAGATAGTACTAACATGTACCTATTCACGTTTATTTCATTTATGATTTAACGATTTGAAAACAATAATTGTAAGATTATTTTATTACTGCATAAAGTTTATTGTTTATTTATAAAAAATATAACAGTATCTAATAATACACATATCGATTATATGACTATGAAATTTAATTTATGTAAGAACTTAGAAGTGTCAGTAAAAATATTCGAGTAATAGTTTGGAAGGAGCTAGGCCGTATCTGGGAGGGTTAAGAGTTTTAGTTGCATTATGTAATAATTAGAAAATACATATTTTTAACACAGTTAAAACATCACAATATTTGTATTCCGTCTCCCAAAACTATGTTATAGTTAAGGCCTTTGAAAAGTAGTGTGGGGGTGAAATTCCCCACGTTTCCTCATTTAGGTTTTTAACTTATCTATTGATCAAATTACGACTATATCACTGTTGATAATGTGAAATATTGTATGTAGAAAATGTAAAGTGCAATGGGGGGTGTGGGGGGCGGAGCCCCCCACGTTATTCTCTATTCATTATATAGGCGTATACCCATAAACATTTTTAGGACTACACCACTGGTCATAATATAATACAAAATATTTTAATTAAACTAATTGAACAAATTAAACAATGCATTTTGATATGATCAACAATCAATTGTTTCAGAAAAATGAAATAGGATCTATCATCAAAAGAAATAAAAATATTCGATGATTGCATATCAATATAATTTTGCTCATCATTCTTTTTTCATGTAATAAATCAGGATAAATTGACAAAATATCGATTCCCTATAGCCCTTACATCCCTTAATTTTAAATTTAGCCTAGATCTAATTATCACTAATACTTTATTTTACCTAATTTTAATTCTAACGAATATTTATAAAAAATTACTTTTTCATTTCAATAGAGGTCACACTGAAAAAACAAAATTCATTTTTTTACAAGGTAAACACTATTACATATTCATAGTCATAGTAGTGTTTATCAAAGATCTATCGTTTCGTTGCTCTGCCAGGGTGGGTAACTTTTGTTCGACGACTTTTTGTATAATTTAACAATTGTCCCAAAACTTGTTTGATCACAAAAGTTCAATGGATCAAATAAACTGTGGAACAAAAGATAAATGGAATTTAATTAATTTGGAAAAAACATTAAATGAAGAAAATAGTAACAGAAAAATTCTAATATTATATGGGACACATTTGTTTCAACTATTTAATACCCTAATAGTGATAATTATTATAACTAACAATTTATTATAATATAGTAAAAATAATATAATAATAATATAAATGAAGCATAGCAGGGCTAAATGTATAAGTACCGAAAATTAAAAAAACGATTTTATTAAATAAAATTAATGAGTATATCAACGCCAATACTGTTAAAAAATGCAACTTCAATAACTATTTATAAATTATTAAATGAGTACCTAGACAGAGTTATCAATGGCCCCTTTTAGGGAAATGTAATCTATTGATTTCTCTAAAAAAACTTCTTGGTACTTAGGATTAAGATGTGGTTATTTAGCCCTTAAAAAATAGGGTTTAGGGAATGATAAAAGTAGGACAGAAATATAGAGTATGTGTTTGGCGAAAGACAATTTAAGGGCAATGAAATGAGTATAGTAATGATAAGAAACAAGGATGTGATAGGTGAAGTGAAAAGTTTTAAATATTTAGGACCATTTATACAAAAATAATGGTAATATTGACGAGGACTTGAGACTTAGGATTAAGTATGGGTGGATCTAGTGAATTTTCTTATATTATGTTTGTTTTCTATTCTACTTTTACTGAATTAAATTACTATAATACTTCTCTATAAACAGTAGTTAAATATTATTTCCCTTCCTTTTAAAAAGTTATCGACCCAGTCGCCAATCGGTGACTCAATCATTGAAATTTTAAATACGTATTAAAACACTTGACTCGTATGCAAATACGATATTTGAGATGTCATTTGCAGACGCAAGCAAAGAAAAATTTTGTGGAGTATGTATTTTTGGGGAACAACATATAAAATCATTTTCATTGAATAAAATAAAAACAACTATACGCATATTAACCACATAATATCATTTTTATATTAACATTTGGTTTATTCAATTAATTAAGATTGTGATTCATTATTATTAAATTAACGTTTGTTTTTTCTAGAAGAATAGTGTTATTAATTGTTTTCTTTAATTAAGATAATAAATCGTGTTTATAAAAAGGCGAAAATACTGGATACCCGGCCAAGAGATGTTTCGAGTCGATGGCTTAACACTAAATGTTGTGTACAGTGCCAACGTTAGAAAATTATCAAGCATACTATTGCGCCAGTCACGTCTTTCCACTCTTGGAACTCAGATTTTGCAATATTCATATCAACGATGTTGGACCTCTGCCTTTCTTAAAAAACTATAAGTAATTATTGATATATGTGGAACATTTTACTCGCTGGCCTAAAACTTGGTAACTTACTAACATGTACGTCCTCACCGTTGACTTCACTGTAGTCAGCCAGTGGTTCCTACGTTTCAGATTGGCCAACATTTTAACCACCAATCAAGACAGCCAGTTCAACGCTTTATCCAAAATATTTGGCATAGAAAATATTAGAACATCGGCTTACCACTCTCAAATCTAATCAAATAGTCGAACGCTTTTAATGAACACTCAAGAGAGCGATATAGACACAGGATTAGCTCTACAAAGTACACTCGAAAAGAACATTCGCATACCCCTACTGAAATGGTATATGCCACAACACTCTGGCTGCCGGTGAACTTTTTCATCTTGCACCGCCCACCACCCGGTTTCCTAGTATCACTATTGCAAGCAATATCAAAGTTGCGGACAACTGGTGGCACTAATTACGCTACAGACCGTTCTTTTTCGTGCCAGTGTTGTTAACAAAGGTTAGTAATGTTTTCCTAAACGTCGACGTCGTATAGTCACTACTTGAGCCAAAATTTGAAGGTCCTTTTGCAATCTTAAAATACAAGGAAAAATTATTCAAAATCCAACGGAGTGGTTTCACTGGTTAGCCAGTGAAACTACCGTGGCACTACCGAAATTAGTGTCCATTTTTTGTATTCTTAGGGGGAATATTACAGCCTCCCAAGCTACTATCATTTCTAGTCTTCAGTTTTATTTTTCTTTAATGTCGCGTTATTATTTACTGTAATTTATATTGTATGTTAGTACTCGTCCTAAATATTATGTTATCATCCCAACTTATTAAATCCAACCTAACTCATTAATCACTCTAGTCATCATTTTTCCGTTGTCTTTTTCTATCGTCCGGGTTCTTTATATTTTATTTAATTCCCGTCGTGACGAATTATCGCATTTCTTTGCCTTGTAGTTTTTTTCTTTAAATTTATATTAGAATATAAAACTGAAACGCCTTTGGAGCGGATACAATGAATTCTTTTTAGTTCAATTATTATTATTTATTTAATCATTCTTTTAAATACTTCCTAGTGTAACAAATTAGCCCGTTGCGCTGCGCTACAGTGTTGGTGTAATTGGGCTCTACGGGGCTACGAAACATCGGCACGAGCGCAGCTTCCCTAGCTCAGGAAATCGGGCGCGTCCTCAGGTTGCGGATAAAGGAACGGCCTGCAGATATGCAGGTTAGCCGCGAAATAAGCAGTCCATTCATTTGAATTGACGAATAAGCGGTCGCAGACAATGAGTTCCCTGCAGATATACAGGGTAGCTGTGATATAAGTTACTTTTCTTTAAGGTGGACTAATAAGCGGTAGCGATCGAGGGTAATTGTATAACGGGCGGGTGGGCCCGGCAGCGTGATAAAGCGACCACCTAGGTGAAGGCAACATTGAAAACAAATCCCCTGGTAGCAGGTAAAACGTAGGCTAGAATTTACATTAAAAATCAACCATGTTGAAAAACAAGTTACGGTACCAGGAGGGTCGGAAACTCTAGGACCGGCTGGGAAGGGTGTCGCTACAGGCCTGACCCGGTCGATATCTAGCGATTATACCAAAACCAAGGGACTGGTGAGGCAGGGTCAAGAGGACGTTCGCGCCCAAATTACTGTCGGAGGATATGTCAAGCAAGCATCCGCCGGTGATCCTCGGGTCACTGAGGTTACTGCTGGTGGTTTTGCTATCACCGAGGAGATGATGGAGGATTAGGTGGACGTGCGGGATTGGCGTGAATTATTAAAATGGCGTGGGCCACCCTGAAGTAATGCCTACCAGCAGTTCCAGGGCAGCTCACAATAAGCCGGTCGAGAAAAAAAAGGGTCGTGGTCCACCAACTTCACGAGTTTGGCCCGCCTGATGACGAGCTTCGGCTCTTTGCGGGCCAACCTCAGCGCCTCCCTCGGGTCGCCGCTCTGCCGGACTGTCCAAGAACCATCCTGCAGAGTCCCGGACCGACCCGGCGTACGGGTCCGAGATGATGCACACGTCGGTGCCCATCTCGTATGCCACCCGAGATAAAAAAGGATAACAAATTGGAGTTAGACCACCTAACCTACTAAAAGCTGTTGATAATCACAGATATTGATTGTAGATTTTTATTTATATCTTTGTTGACAACAAAAATTATTAATTTGATAACAAAAAAGTTGATATCAAAATATAACGACGATAATGTTTAGTCCTTAAGAAAATGGCTTCAAATTTTATCATTAGTTAATGATATGAATAGATATGAGCTATCTAGTTTATTATCTAAATCCATAATTTATAACCTCAAATAACTAAAATTTTCTGTGATATTACTCTGAAATTGTGATAAAAAATGATACGTTTGCATTCAAAAAAAATTATTTAAATTTGAACACGAGTGATGTCTAATTCTTATCTAAGTGAGTTTTAAGTATTCAGGATTCTTAATAGTTTGGAATTAATGTAAAAGATTGATTGAATTTTTTAAAGAAAGTTACAAAAAATGACTGTTCCGAATTTGGCTGGTAATAATATAAATTTGTTTATAGTTTTGTTGAAAATTACTTTTTATATAAAATTTCATTTTTTAAATAAGTATGATTCGTTATGTATCAATATTTAATGTCTTTGTGTAAGCATATTAAATAAAGTTAGTAAAATAATGTTGACCATATTGTATTATTTTTAAAGTTCGAGGCTCAACTGGACTTAACCTGTATCAAGGTATTGCTCCATTTAACTCAGTATCTACTTTATCTCCCGAGTTGTCATCTTCATGTAAGTTTATGATATTTAGTGCAAATGGGAAACATTTTGCTTGGATTAATGCTTCTAAGTAAGAGTGCTTTAGTTAATGATATTTTTTTATTTCTTTGAACAATTTTTTATTTTTATTTAAAACAATAGTCTATATTAAAGTTTACTAATTTAAATTCTTGAATATTATCTTAATGGCAAGAAAATAATTCTTATTTTGATATGTCATGTTTTTTATCTTAATGTTGTTTGAAATATGTTAAACAAATTATTTAAATATACATTGCATCAATTTTTATTTATAAAAAAAAATATCAAATTCAAGTACAAAATTAATTTTTTTTCCAGAGTTATACTTGCAAAAACTAATGATTGGAAAATAATTGCAGAAAATGTTTATTCTAAAGCAACTCAATTAGTATTTAGTAGTAAAGGAACTTACTTGGTTGTTTATGAACCTTTTATTAGTAATTAATACAACTATTGAACTTTAAATTAATTATTAATTATTTATGATGAATTTCAGCAACACCTACCAACCCAAAAGGCACCCCTAATGTACATATTCTTAAGACTGCTACTGGAGAATTAATTAAAAGTTTTGAATATAGAGACTCTAAACTTTGGTAACATTTCTTTTTTATAAAGTGTTAAATAAAATTTTACATATATCTTACATATCTTAAATTTTATATTTTTGTATAATCTTTATTTAATCATTTACTTTAAAATAAATTATTGTATTTTCAAGTATCTATGTTGATATCAATTATGTCTTTTAAAATATGATTAGTTTATTTATAATGATATATTTCAGTTGATAAATGTTACAGTTATAATAACTTATAGAGGCCATATGTCCATCTAGATTTTTCTTTTAATAAACAAGGACAAATTTTTTAATTTAAAAAAAAAACCTAAATATTGTCGATTGAGTGGAAAGACTCATTACATAAAACTTTTTTACTTTTTTAAAATAGATGAATAAGTTATCATGAATATTTATTTATTTATTTATAAATTTAATGGGCTCTGTCCTTTTTACAAAATCAGGTTATTAAACAATTTTATAAAATAATATCAGTATAAATATAATTCACAACATTTCAATACATAATAAATAACTGATAGCAGGTAATAGCTCACTCCTTGGTAGACAGGTATTGTTGACTTTATTTTGAGCCAAAATAGTGTTTAAATTTTAAATATTATGTTAATTCAAGGTGTTTTGAAACATTACCAATTTCTTATAACATTTTTACTTTAGGGCTCCACAATGGTCATCTGATGAAAAAGTTTGTGCTCGTTTTTTAAACGGAGATGTACTTTTTTATGAGAATTCTAATTTTGATAATATTGTACATAGAATCAAAGGATTAAAACTTAATAATTATTCAATATCGCCAACAAATCAACCAATTAATGTTCTATGTTTTTTACCAGGTTTTTAATTTTTTTTTAAGTTAGATATCAAGGAATGTATTGAATTAAGAAAATTAATTAAAATGAATATTTATTTATAGCAAAAGCAGGTCCATCAAATGGTCGTCTTTTTATGTACCCTGATTTCAATAACATCATTGCAAATAAAAGCTTTTTTCAGGTAGTATATCTATATAATTGTCTAGCTATGTTTTGTTTATTTATTTATTTTTCACTCGATAATTTTTTTTAAGAATTTATAAAGAAAATTATAAATGAACTTTTATAAAATCATGGTTTCCTAGACTTAAAAGGCTTTAAAATTTAGAATCATAATTTATTAAAAATAATATAAATTTTTTATTTAAATATATATATTTATATATTGTAACTTATATGAAATGTGATGCCTTTTTTGTTCATACCATAATAATAAAATAATTTTTTTGATTTTAATGTTTTAAAATTTATTGTTTTAGCACCCTATTAACTAATAGTTCGAAAAATATTTCATCTTCAATTAAGATGTAAATATATGCTTTTTGAAAAGTCAAATTTTCATTCATTATTTCAATAATATTGAATGAAATCTATTATAATGTATATTTTTATCTTTAGTTTTTCTATTATTTTTCCTAATTCAATGATACAAAAAAAAAAAATAATTTTGCAATTTTATCAGATCAATTACAGTTTTCTTTTAAATATTTTTAATAAGTACATATTTTATGAATGCATACTTTTATTTTTTTTACATACTCTAAAGAATTATTGATACAGTATATTATTAGGCTGATAGAGTAGAAATTATTTGGAACCAAAAAGGAACAGCATCATTAATGTTAACAAGCACTGATGTTGATAAAACTGGTCAGTCCTATTATGGAAAACAAGGTCTTCATTTAATAACTACTAAAGGAGACACATCTCAAGTTATAGTTAGTAAGTTAATTTTATATTAAAAAAAATCCAGCACAGGGGGGTCGCGGCACAGTGGCGACGTGGCATAGTTGGATCAAGTATAATGATATCTGACAGTGATTAAAATCACTATAAAAAAAAAACGCTTCGATGCAAATCTTTAGATAATGTTTAATTTTAAAAAATTGGTGAATTATTCCAAAAGCTACATAATCTGCTAGTTCCTTATTAATATCCTGATTAAGATAAAGTATGTCGAATGAAAAAGGGATTATTAAAAAATAGTATTTCTCATAGAAAAATTATGTTGATCCATACACTTTTCAATACGTTATAGCATTATAAAGTTAAAAATATAAAAAATAAAAATCGAAAATTTTCACACAATAATAGCATTTGGTAGCCATTTTCACCGTGAAGATCAAATAAAGTCCGAATTTTTTTTTTTCCAGGATAAAGTATATTACATTGGCTTTAATTTAAGATATATATAAAAGTGTCAGACCTTCCGGAACACTTTCAAAAGTTCTACTTTCTATATGCATTTTTTAGATTTGAAGCCCCCCGTATATAGGGAAATGGTCTGATTTAAAAAAAAAGTATGTCGAATGAAAGATGTATATAAATACTACTTCTCATGAAAAAATTGTATTGATCCATACATTTTTCAAAAAGTTATAGCATTATAAAGTTAAAAATGTAAAATCGAAAATCGAAAATTTTCACACAAAAATAGCATTCGGTAGACATTTTCACAGTGAAAACAAAATAAAGTCCGAAATTTTTTTTTTCATAATAAAGTACATTATATTATCTTTAATTTAAGATATATATATATATAAGTGTCAGACTTTCCGGAACATTTTCAAAAGTTAAGTTAAAAAAATTAATTTTTTGTGAAAAAGTTGTCATTTTAAATCCCCCCCTGTGGGCAGGTTAAGTGTCAGATTTACAAAAAAAATATACCAAATGATAGGTAAAGACATCATGCATCTACAAAAAAAATAATTATATTAATTTGACTATTTTTAAAAAAGTTATGGCAATTTTAAGTAAAAAAAAATTGAAACAATTTCGAAAATTAGCGATTTTTAAATTTGTAATTTTTTTGGAGGTTTCCCACATTTACGGGGAATGAGGGAATTTTTTTCAATTTTTGAGGGTAATGTCTTCGACTAGATACAATTTGTGATCTTTTGACGTATCATTGAAAGAAATCGGTTCGGTCAAAGCTGAGAAAAAGTGGTAACAGACATAAAAAAAAAAAAAAAAAACACATCTTAGTAAAACCAATACCTTCTCAGCTTCGCATCGAAGCTAATAATTATATGTAATCTTTAATAACATTTAGTATTGATAATACTTGTATGCTAAATTTTATAGACAAAGAAGGTCCATTATATACGGCTTCATGGAGCCCTTCATCAAATGAATTTTGTGTTGTTTATGGCTTTATGCCTTCAAAAGCTACATTGTATAATTTAAAATGTGATGTTGTCATGGAATTTGGAACTGGAACATTTAATGCAATCTATTACAATCCGTTTGGAAATAATATCCTTTTACAATTTTTTATAAAATAAAATTTAGTTACTTTAACATAAGTTCAATATATTGAACAATATTGAGAGTAGACTGTATTTCCAATGTAACATTAAAATCGTATTAAACTTTAATTAATAAATAGAAAATTTTTATTATTTCACTAATTTGAATTTTATTAATAAAAATAAATTCTTAAAAATTATTACATAATTTTTTTTATTTATAGACTAAATAACTAATTATAAATATTACAAATAAAAGATTCTGTCATTATCAAGATATAATATTTTTTCATTTTGATTAAATTTTTTGAAAATGAATATTACTAATAATTTAGATAAATTATCTAATACTCTTCATAAACATGTTAGATAAGCTTCAACTACAAGGTTATAACTTCACATTAAAACTATATTTAATCATTAACAATTAATTAACATTATAATTTATATTCAACATTAATTTATGGAAGTGTTTAAGCTTTCATGACTGTATTATCTAGAATATTTACAGATATATCCATTTCATTTTCATAAAACTGAAGACAAGTTTAATTTTAATACTGATTTTTTTACATAAATATAAAAATATTCTTTTAGTTTTTAATTAATTTGTTGATTATAATCATAAAGTTTGTTGTGAATGTTATTACCTTTTCTTTTTTTTACTCTGCATCACTATTTAAGAAAACTCCAATAAGCAAAAAAAAAAGGTTATTATGACTAAAAAATCCAAACATTACTAATTATTTATGGGAGGTTACAATATCTTTTTAGTGGGCCACTTGTTTTACTTGTTATTTGTTAGATGTTTTGTTATGATTGCAACATGTAAAAATGTCTTACGTTATAATATTAATTATAAATTTTCTTTAACTTATTAAATACTTCTCCTTTTGGCTGGATTTGGTAATGTTCAAGGAAATGCTGAACTCTGGGATATTAATGGAAAAAAAAAAATTAAAAAAATTGATATACCAGATACTACATACCTTCAGTGGTCTCCTGATGGTCAACATTTTGCTACTGCAACAACAGCCCCACGACTAAAAGTTGGTAATACATTTAAAATATGGCATTATAGTGGTGCATTATTACATGAAAAGCCTTGGGGTAAAAATGAACTCTTTCAAGTTGTCTGGCAAAATTATTCACAGGGAACATTCAAAACACCAACTGTAGTTTATAAAACTGTTGAAGGCATTGCTTCCAGTCAACCAATTGGTAAATTAATTTTTACTTATGAATTAAGTAATTTTTTTATTAAATAACCAAGCCATTGGTTTACAAATTAGACAATATTAGTAACTTATATGCAAGATGATTAATTATGTCTTATGCAAAAAATGTATCAATATGTAACATATTATAATTTTTTCTATTTGGAAGTTATTAGTAACCTATGTTTTACAATTTTCAAAAAAATTTTGTTCTCTCCCATTAAAATAGTTTCAACTTAATTTCTAAATTAAGATCCTATCCTAACTTAGACATGAAATCAATATTCTGGTTCTACCCATTTTTTGAAGCGGACTAAATTCGGATCTAAATTCAAGCTGGCAAGCCCAGCCTTAACTTATCTCTAAGAAATTAACTTTAAAAATATATGTTTTATATACATTTTAAAGTTTTAATGATATTTAAGTCATCTATAACTTAATATTATTTAGGTAACTAATTTTTTTTATATATAATCGAAATCATAATTGTGAAAATATTTCTAATTAGAAAACAACCCTAAAAATTAATTTATGACATCAAAATTTTAGCATCCAAACAAGTTTACAGGCCACCACATGCTAGAAACTCTGATTTTAAACCTACTTCACTACATGATGATGCAACTGATATTAGTAAGTTATAATATATTTTTTACTATTATACTTTTGGGAGAAAGTGGTTAAATCAAACTTAAACATTTTTACATTATTTAAAAATTTAGTCGTATACTTTTTACTACTTTTAACAGTATTTATAACTCTCAGAAGTAATAAAGTTAATTGTCATTGTGATTTGATTTTGAGTTCCATTTAACACCAAAACATTTATTTTTTACTGTAATCTTCTGAAAAAATTCTTTTTATAACTTAATCCTCTCTTCACATAAACCAACCATGATATAGTCAATAATAATTTATATATATTTATTTTTTTTTATGCATACAAAATTATTTATATTTAATTACATCATAGTAAATTATTACTGATTGTACATAAAATCTCCCCATAGGATATATGGAGCAATTTGTTCTTCCAGAAACCTTTCTGGGTCCTAACTCAGTAATTTACAACTTGTGTCATAATTGGGTCAAAATAAACGCAGAAATTCAAATTAGAGCTGCAGTAGCCAATACCAGCTCATGATCCTATTTAAACAGCCTATATTTTATTGTTACCGGATCAATTCAATAAATTAGACTTCTTTTGAACAGCAAAATCCTTCTTTGCTGTCCTTGCACACTTATCTCAAATAATGTATTCATTTATAATTATGTACAAAACATTTACTATTTTATTAGAAAATCAATCAAAAGCTTATTTAAAAATGAAAAAAAAACGTCAAGCTAAACGTCAAGCAAAAGAACAACAAGAAATAAATGACACAAATAGTGTTGAACAAAAAATAAATGATTCTAAATCATCTATTGATGATGAAAAACAAAAAAGATTTAAAAAATTACAAACAGTATGTTAAATAAAAATAATCATATTTTATTTTATTGTTTCATTATAATATTAAATTACAGGATTTAAAGAGTATAAATCGAATTAAAACTCTACAAGCTTCTGGTAAAGAATTGGATCATAATCAAATTTCAAGATTGAAACTTGAAAATGATTTATTAAAAGAGCTTCAGCAACTTCAAATTTAATAAAATATGAGATGTGGACAAAAATATAAATTAACATACTATTTATTTTGAATTTTTGTTTCATATTTTTTATTATTATTAACTAATTATATTAGTATAAACATTTATAAATACAGAAGTCCGCTTGTACAGTGTAATGTACCGTCTGAATAAACATGGAAACCTCTCACTTCTAAATTTAACTATAAGTAAAATTCTGTATATTGAATACAATTATTTAATAAAATAATTAGATTAAATTTTAATAATAAAAAAAACGGTAGCACAGTGGGGTCACGGCACATTTTGGACATAGTATAGTTGGGACATGTATAGATGATATCTGACAGTGATTAAAATCACTATCATAAAAAACGCTTCAAAGCAAATCTGTAGATAGTGTTTAATTCTAAGAAATTGGTGGATAATTACAAAAGAGACATCAACTCCTATTTCCTTATTTATATCCTGATTACAAGTTTTATGATTTATAAGTGTTATACATAAATAAATATGTATTATAGCAATTAAATACAATATTTTCAACAGTTAAAAAAGTTAAATTTTTATACAAAAGTTACTATGTTGAATCCCTTCTGAGGGCAGGTAAAAGATCAGATTTTCAAAAAATTAATATCAAATAAAAGGGGAATACCTAAGGTTCCAATATAAAAAAGAATTATATTGATTTTTTCATTTTTAAAAAAGTTATAGCAGTTTTAAAAAAAAAAGTTGAAAAAATGTCGATTTTTAAATCGTAATTTTTGGGCGGATTTCTCCCATTTAAAGGGAACGAGAAAATTTTTTCCAATTTTTAAGGATAAAGGGCCGGTGAAAGTTGAGAAAAATTGGCAACAGAAATATCATTGAAGCTAAAAAATAAGTATATTTATAAAAAATAGGAATAGAAATGGTATAACATTGCATTTGTATTTCATTATTTCCTCTAATGTAATCTTTGGAATGTTAAAACAATGTCAATACTATAATTTGAAGTCTATTTTCAATTACTTGCAATAACTATGTTTTGAGCTGGTTGATATAAAATAAAAAAAAATCATTAGCTACTTAATAACAATAATTTTATTTCAGTCTTGATAAAAAAAAATATTACAGTCTAATGTATTTAATATTTATGATTAATTTTTAAATTATTGATAACACTGTAATTAAATATTTTAATAGAAAGAAATAATATGTTATTAAAAGTGGTTAAATAATATATTTTTTTTTTTTGGCGTTCCTAAACTAGTATATACATAAATTTATTTTGAGCAAAAATATTTTCCAACTAAGCTCAATGAAATAATAATAATACATTGAATTAATAAAATACAGTTTTGAATTATTATCATAATACAAATTTCAACATAGATAATTTTTAACTAACTTTGTAAAATAAAAATAATTTTTTTATACATATGTTATATCCAAATTATATCCAAATTAAAATTTTAAAAATGGAACAACCAATATAGCATCTTTTGGTGTTAATATTAATGTTAAAAATATTTATATAAGATTATAAACAGCACTAAAAATTAATAAATGTTGGCATATAATTTTTTTTTTAAATCCTAATATATTTTAGTTAAATTGAATATAATTTGTTTAAAATGTACAAACAAATCTATACGTAAACAAATTATAAACACAAGTTAAATTATAAAATATACAAGTAAAAAAAAAGAAGACATTGAATTACTTATTTCACACAAAATAAGCTGCACAATATTTTAAACGATTTTCAAAAATTTTTATTTATATAGAACAACTTAATATTAAAATGAATTAATAGAAAAATTTTTCATTATATATTTAAATAGAAATAATGTTGAATATTGCCTCTACTTTTTTTTAACGCCCATTGCCCATGAAATACAGCAATATGAATAAATTTCACGACTACATAAGGGGCTTAACTTAATGTGTATATGCTAGAATATTATTTACGGAAATAGAGTTCACGAATAACCTCCTTCTAGAGACACAAAATAAACCAAAATGTACTTAGTTCATACCAATGACGCAAGTAGAAACATTTTTCCAAGACGATTATGATATATAATTTCTCAAAAACCTACTAAAATTCTAGAATTATAAATAAAAAAACTTATTGTGAATAAAACAGGTCATCTATGATTAAAATTCATAAATCTACATTCGTTTTGGCATGAAAGATAACATAAGAAGATACTATCCTCTTATAAAACAAAAATTAAAAATTTATCTCTAATTTCTATCTTCCCTATTTTGAACTCATCTTAAGTTTAATAGTTTTTAAATTTTCAAAGACCTTTCCAAAATACGTCATTGAACCCCTCCTTGAATAAATTATGGTATTAATGCGTTTTTAAATTTTATAATAATTCATTATTATACACAAAAATCCTTTAGTTATACATTTTCTAGGTTAATTCATAGAGATACTAGAATATTCTATTTTTAAAACACTATTTATTTTAGGTTAAATACTAAAAATAAAAAACAATAATTATTATTTTTCCATTTACTTTGATAATTTTGTACTGAGGATAAAATTTTGAATGTGAGCTATCATCATAGAGTAATTACTCTATCGCTATTTTACACAAGATTTAAATTTATGAAGCCTTATCATTTAAGAGTTAAATTACTTAGTTTATAAGTGACAATAATACTAAAATAATTGATGAGCAAGTGCTTCTAAAGCCCTTTCGATTATAAAAATGAATGCAATAAAAGTATAATTATTAATTTACCATTATAGAGAATTTATATGAAAACCCATTATTACAAATTAAGTAGTTTTGTTATCAGTAGTAATAAATTTAGAGCATACTTAAGTTTTTTTACTAAAGTTTTAGACTTCTCATAAATAAATGCACAATTATGCTAGGTATTATGTACAAAGTAAAATTATTTAATTACCAACTAAATTAAATTTCATATAATAAATATGCAATACAGATTAAATATGAGAATGGATATTATAGTGATTATCTGGAATTAGAAAATAGAAAAATACACTAATAAGAGATAAATAAGTGTTAAATAATGGGACATAAATAAAAGTATTACTAATAATTTATTTTATTAGAAACATTAAAAAGAGTAAAATGGTAAACATTTCAATCGTAGCTTTCGGACTCCTGTTGTACAAGTTTAAATCTTCTTGGGCTTTTTACATTCATTGAACCACAATGATTATTTAATATCATACCTCTCTTTGATAAATATTTTTTTATATAACGACAAACTAATTTTTGAGGTCTTTGCTGCCACTCGTCAAGAACTTCCTTAGGATAATGAATCTGAAATTATAGAATTTATTTAAATAAGTTTATATAACATACTCATATAACTGTTACCATAATATTATTAACATTAATAATATTACATACAATGGTTAAAATTAAATTTTTAATTTCGTGCCTTAATTCTTAATAAGTCTTTGGACAACATATAGTTATGGTATAATTTATTTTTGATATTCTATGCAATATTGTGAGAAAACCTTTGAATATTTATCAATATTCTTCCTTTTAAAAATACGAAATTGACTTGAGTACTAATTATTATTAATTTTTGTCAATTAACATAAATAAGTCATATAAATCCTTTTTTGTAAGAGAATTTTTAAAAATTATCGGGGAGTAATTCAATTTAATTTTGATAGAAACAAGCTATACACAGTGAATAAAAATTGGATAACATTAATAATTTAATAACCTAACATATTAAATATACATACTTGATCTCCTTTTAGTCTATCCAGTAATGTTACACACACAACAGCTGCTTTTATTCCTGCATGATGTGTCAGGGCAGCAAATGCCAATGATTCCATTTCGATATTTCTCACGTTATTTGATTTAAGTTTTTCTAAATACTCCATTTTTTCTTCTTCTGAGAAGTCACAAAAAGCTCCATCCATACGCCCTTGGCCTATAAAAATGTTTAATCATACTAAAATATTAATGTGTTAAAGCTTTCATGGATTGTCTTGTTGCTTGAAGTATTTAAGGATATATCCATGTTTACAGTTGAATTCTGACGTTTCGGACTCAACTCTAAACATAGATATATCCTTAAGCACTTTAAGCGTAATAAAATAATTATAATAACACATTAACTGTTTAGAAAAACATAAATTACTTTTTTAAACAGTATATAGTTATAGAGCAAAAAATTTTCATTACTAAAAGCATAATGGCTTCAAATCAAATGACTTTTAATATACTTATTGATAGTATAATTTGTTTTTTAGTTTATGCCAGCTAACATTTTTTTTTCTTTTTTTTTTTTTTGTAAACTAAAATGCCATGTGATTTTTTCTTAAAGCTATTTTAAAGTAATTTGATAGAAAATGTTACAAAATGATGGTCTAAGATTCACATCTTTAAAAAACCAAAAAATTAAAGAAATATATTTGTATGCCAATATTTTTAACTACATGTAGTTCATATTTTATTAGTATCTAAATTCAACTAAAATGTAATCAACTAATTTTGGTTTTATGTCGACCGTTGTTTCCTACGTATATATTTGTTCATGAAATAAAACTAGTGAATTTTATAGTAGCGAGTGCTTCATGAACTGCAGCTCTTCTAGAATATACTAGTGATCTATTTTTAGTTAGCTTGTTTTTAAATAATTAAAATAAAATATGTACTTTATAGTCGTAGCATAAAAGGGACCCCTTCAAATTTATTTATTAATATTAAACTAATTTAGACAAAATATTTTTTTACTTGGTATTCTTGTTATTACCTACCTTCATAAAAATCACTTGTACACATTGTCTTGCCAATAACTGTTGGATACGGATCATCTGGTTCGGCTAGAGATTTTAATTCCCATTGAAGTTTTTTGTCCAAGATCGAATTTCTTTTTACTAATTTTCCAAGAATTTGCTATAGTTATTTTGACATGCGATTAATGTACAACTATAATATAAAATAATAGTTTTATAAAAATAATTAAATGTCATACTAGTTCTAAATTTGGTTGAAGCATGCCATCAACGGCTTCATCAGAAATTACCACAGTACCTCCTTCTAAGCCAATACCTCCACTTGTACCTATTCTAAAGAAAATAGGATCCACAACTTTAGCATGGAACATGAGTTTAATAATTTCATGCAGTAGTATACCAACAGATGGCATTCCCATTCCATGCTATATGACATAATATTAAAAATTCAATAATTATATATAAACTATTTTTAAAAAAAGGTTAAAAATGTTTCTACAAGTATATCCTACCCATTCTGTAGCAATATTCAATTAAAAAAGCTTGATTGGACCTAGTACATTCTTCATGAAATCTCGAAATAGAGAAAAATTATTTTTTAAATGTCTTATTGCCAAAAAAATGTTTGTGAATTAAAAAAAGATCATTTTATGATAGCGATAATAATTTCTGTTTTAAATCATAATATTCCATTTATTTAACCACTCCCCAAAAGTCTAACGCTTTTGAGATTGATTTATTAAGTTAATTGCTAATCCATTTCGAAATATTTAAGTTATAGTTCTTATTAAAAGAAATGTTAACTTTGAAAAGATTTTTAATGAAAATCTTAAATATTAAATTTCAATTATACTTACACTAATACAAAGTACAGGTCCCACTTTATACATTGAATATCTATAGGAATAACGACTTATGTCTTGCAGCGTTGTACCCGTCGGTATTTTATAAGATATTTCTTCCATTAATTTGTATGCAAATTGTTCCATTCGTTTGGGTGTGCCGCCCATACAAACAAACTATAAAATTCAAATATTTAACAAATGAAAAAAATAACATAATACGTTTATATATTTAAAAATATTAAAATTTTTATATTTAAACATTTATGATACAGCCCAATAACGGAAGCAAGGGGGAAATTGGGCCGCTTTTTAAAAGACTATCAGAGTCACTTTAAATAATAATATGATTTGGGTTTTAAAATTGTTTTTTGATCTTTTTTTTATTAACTCAATGATTTTATCTATAAGCCATTGACATTTTTTAAAGCAAAAAGGCTTATTGGATTACCGTATGCCCCTGTTAAGCTAGTAAAACATAGTTTCATAAAATAAAATAGTGTTAAGTTAATATTCATCTTTCTAGATATAAATCTTTAAAATATGATTAGTTGTAAATTTTATAAATAAATAATTTGAAAAAATATTTTTTTTTGCCTTGAAAACGTGTAATTTTTCTCACCTGAAAAACATTTTAGTATCACATAATATACTTTCTGAATTTTTGATGAGCTTAGCTACAAAATCACTACTCAAACACTAACTATGAATTTCTATTATTCTTCTTTAAATAAAGTAAAAATATTATAAATAAATACGATTTTCATACAGGAAAATAAAATAACGTTAAAAATGTTTAAATCTAAATTTTATACTCGAAAATTATTTCTAAATTATTTAATTATTTATAAAATTATTATTTTAAATTAATTAAACAATTTAAAAATACACTGAATAATAATTATTATTTATAATATTTTTAATACTAAATTATTCTTAATTTCGCACTTATTAAAAAAATATTTTTATAACATATAAAAATAGTTTTATTAATTTCGTTAAAGATTAAAATAGACTACTTTATCATTTTTATGTTTACATATTTAACGAACTGTTTTTTTAGTTTTATATATTACAATAAACTGTTTTTTTAACTTGTACCATAATAAAAATACCATAGGCGCAACATGAAGAGAAAACTTAGAGATGCTTCTACAATCTAAAAATTCAGAAAAAGTACATATATGATTCTATTTTAAAAAAATAGGGAGGGGGAAATTATATATAAAGAAAATTATTTTAAAACTGCACCTATACTAAGTACATAAAATATAATCATATTTTTACCTTAACGTCACCAAACATAGCTCTTAAATCGTGAGAACCACTTCCTAAAGCCAAATGGTATAATATATCTTGATCCATAAGATCAAGATGAAAGTTTCTCACCAAAACGGTACTGACATCTTCATATCTATAAATAATTTTTCAAACCAACAAGAGCTATTTAATAAATACCACAATTATAATTAATACATTTTATGTTTAAGTTGCAGTATATTATTAAAACAACTTATATTATCACAGGTGTACGTACAAAGATCACAAAGGGTGCTTTTGCTGTCCCTAAAATGGTTTAATTTGTTGAATTTGACGGGTATCATTTGTAAGTAATAGAGAAAACAAAAATTTTATAAATACTCTTAATAATGTATATATTAAATTCCTCTTGGAAACCCTTTAAACCGAACAGACAATTAGTAACTATCTTCAAATTTATAATTTGCAAATATAATATATAGTATTATATTGCGTAATAAGTAGTAATTAAGATAATAATATATATTATGTTATAATTTTATTCATTACGCTTTACTTTTCCAACATTTATTATTTCAAAAATAAATACAACGGACAAAAAATAATCGGCTGCGTGTTGACAATATAAGACAACATAATATATATACAGGGTGTAAATCTTTCGAACCATAGTAATGTATGGGCGAGTATCCTGGTAAAGTGTAAAATAGGACCTCGTTTTTTTTTTTTTTCCAAAATTGGAGAAATTTTAGAATAACCCCCCCGAATTTCTCTAAAATTAAAAATAAATCATACCACAATATTTCCCGCAAAATTCTCATACAAATTGAATGGTCACTCGATTTTTTGTAATTTTTGCGCCCTCCCCTGAACTTTGGGTTCAAAGTTGGAAAAAAATTTCACATTAGTGTGACCCATCAATTTGTATTGAAATTTCACTGGGAGTCCTGTGATGTAGTTTATTTTTAGTTTAATGGATTAAATAACAAGAAAGACCGAAAAACCCACAAATAATGTGATATTTTTTTAATTTCATGAGTTTATTTCGTCTTTTATTATTTATTCAAACCGATTATAATTTTTATCATTGAAACTGTATAAAATTATAATTTTTTTTATTTTTAGGTCGGGGAAATAAAAGAATTATAATATTGAAATGAATATTTTTAACTCTATTACAATTAGAAATAATTATTTTAATGTAACCGGCACACTACTCTTTTCCGAAATTAATCAATAATGAGAATATGGTACATCACTGAGCTTGTTAATGTTTATTTAAATGTTCGAAAAATACTGTTCACTATTGAATAGTCACTTATTAAGTTGCATATAATATTAGATAACCTTTAAAATATAGCTTCTTTTTTTGTGCAATAAAAATGCATAAATATTACATTATTTCTAGGTTTTTTCGGTTTTTCTTGTTATTTAATCGTTTATACTAAAAAATAAACTACAACACAAGACTCCCAGTGAAATTTCAATACAAATTGACGGGTCACACTATTATGAAATTTTTTTCCAACTTTGAGCCCAAAGTTCAGGGGAGGGCGCAAAAGTTACAAAAAATCGAGTGACCACTCAATTTGTATGAAAATTTTGCGGGGAATATTGTGGTATGATTTATTTTTAATTTTAGAGAATTTCGGGGGGGTTATTCTAAAATGTCTCCAATTTTGGAGAAAAAAAAAAAACGAGGTCCTATTTTACACTTTACCAGGATACTCGCCCATACATTACTATGGTTCGAAAGATTTACACCCTGTATATAACACTTTTTGGTCACAATTAAGATTTTTAGGGAGGACTTTTTCCTCTTAGGTTATTTCTTGAATATTTAGATTGTTTGGACAACCTAACGACTAAAAGTAATACTTTAAGGCACCTCTAAATTGCTTTTATTAAAAATAATGTCAAAATTTAAAAATTTTCATTAAAAAAAAGGTCTTCAAAATTTATTATAAAGATTGAGTTTTTAAGATAAAATAATCGCACTAAAAAGTGTTTCACTTTGGGGCATTTAAGATTAGGCAGTGTTATATTTATCTTTAATTACTTCAATCTCATCTAGCAAGGAAACCCACAAGAAGTTAGACCCATTCAAGAGACTCGCATCAAAATTACAGTTTATTTACAATTAAAAACTTTATAATAAACTCGTTAATTTTTTAATTTAAGGTATAGTTTAAATAAGGGAGTTGTTTATTGATCTATTGTTGAAGCTTGCTCCTGCTGCACTATATGCAAATTAAAATATAATCTTTCTTTATAATATCACATTTTACATAAATTTTTTGATAATAATTCAAAGTAGTAATTAATATTTCTATTCTTATCAAATGTAATGAAACTCGTTCCTTCATCCATCCCTCAAAAAGGAATCGATTTCAGGAATCCCGAAACAACGCTATATATATAGTTTATATAGTAATTATATATAGATTATTTAAATTTAAAAAAAAATACTTAATTGAGTTTCCTTCTTGTTTACCAGGGGTCGGGTTATAAAATATTTTTTGTTTAATATTTAAAATAATTATAACGTTATCCAACATTTAAACGTTATACAACTATTATGTTTATATTTTTTATATTAAAACTTATTTAATTTTTTCATTTAACATTAATAAGTTTTAAAACCTAGAACAGTGGGATCGCGGCATAGTTGGATGTGGCATAGTTGAGTCCAGTATAGATTTAATCTGACAATGATTAAAATCACTATCAAAAAAAACGCTTCGATGCAAATCTTTAGATAGTGTTTTATTTTAAAAAATTAGTGGATTATTCCAAAAGCTACATATTCTTATAGTTCCTTATTAATATTCTGATTCAGATAAAGTATGTCAAATGAAAAAGGGAATATTAAAAAATATTATTTCTCAAAAAAAAATTATGTTAATCCATACAATTTTCAATTAGTTATAGCATTATAAAGTTAAAAATATAAAAAATAAAAATCGCAAATTTTCACACAATAATAGCATTTGGTAGCCATTTTCACCGTGAAGATCAAATAAAGTCCGAATTTTTTTTTTTCCAGGATAAAGTATATTACATTGGCTTTAATTTAAGATATATATAAAAGTGTCAGACCTTCCGGAACACTTTCAAAAGTTCTACTTTCTATATGCATTTTTTAGATTTGAAGCCCCCCGTATATAGGGAAATGGTCTGATTTAAAAAAAAAGTATGTCGAATGAAAGATGTATATAAATACTACTTCTCATGAAAAAATTGTATTGATCCATACATTTTTCAAAAAGTTATAGCATTATAAAGTTAAAAATGTAAAATCGAAAATCGAAAATTTTCACACAAAAATAGCATTCGGTAGACATTTTCACAGTGAAAACAAAATAAAGTCCGAAATTTTTTTTTTCATAATAAAGTACATTATATTATCTTTAATTTAAGATATATATAAAAGTGTCAGACTTTCCAGAACATTTTCAAAAGTCAAGTTGAAAAAATTAATTTTTTGTGAAAAAGTTGTCATTTTAAATCCCCCCCTGTGGGCAGGTAAAAAGTCAGATTTATAAAAAAATATACCAAATGATAGGTAAAGACATTATGCATCTAATAAAAAAAAATTATATTGATTTGTTCAATTTTGAAAAAATTATGGCAATTTTAAGTAAAAAAAATTGAAAAAATTTCGAAAATTAGCGTTTTTTAAATTTGTAATTTTTTTGGAGGTTTTCCCCATTTACAGGGAACGAGGGAATTTTTTTTAATTTTTGAGGGTAATGTCTTCGACTAGATACGATTTGTGATCTTTTGACGTATGTCGAATGAAAGAGGTATATAAATAGTATTTATCATAATAAAACTGTATATATCCATTAGGGTGTTCCTTATTTTTCAACTTCATAAATTCAGAGTCAACGGCTCAAAATTTTGTTAGATTCACTGAAAAAATGAAACTGGTAAAATTTGAGTACAATAAGTCAACCCCTTCACATGCCTCAAAGGGGTTGAAGTTCTACAAAAATGGGGTGGATTTTCTTTTTTTGAGTGTATGTTCTTTAATCTTGAAGTTTCGCCAAAATCACAAAGAACAATTTTTATAGAACTCAATGTGAACAAAAAATAAGACAATATATTATTTTTTTGTAAAAATAAGAAAAATCAGTTTCACTTAATTTTAAAAAAAAAATGACATAGTTTTCAGTTATACTTTTCCAGTGTCTTAAATTTTAATTGTACGCAGAAATTGTACAGAAGTAATATTAATCACCATGATATCTTTTATAAAAAAGGTAATTTGACTTTTTTTCGAATTATGAATCCTTTCCAAATAAAAATTTAAAACAACTATGAAAACGTGTTTTTTTTTAAATTTTTTTTGCGTGTATTTTTTTTTGTTCTTAAATTAACAAATTTTTTTAGTTATATTAAATAAAAAAAAAATAAACACAATAAAATAATAATTGTATATCACAATAATAGTTTTTCTAATTTGAATATTTTTTATTCAAAATTTCTCGGCTACACCTGGGATACAGCTGGCGATATTGTTGAACCACCTAAAATAATCCAAAGTAAAGGTTATAATACAAATGTAGTATTTTAAAATTTAAAATTTTGCAGTATTATTATATAATTTCATAGTTGCAATATAAATTGTTTTTGATATTCATCCCTTGTAAATTTGTCGTTGAATTCTGTCGTTTACTATTTTTATCGAGGATATTTCTTTGGCGTTATTGTATTCATTATTTATTTCCAATGTGTTGCTGAACAACGAAAAAGGAAGATCTTTTTCTAGAAAATCTGATAAATCTTCATATTTTAAAATTAATTTTTTATTTGAATCTTCATTTTCTTCTGGCTCTTTATTTGTGCTCTGTTCATAACCTTTTAATATTTTTTTTAGTATTAATGTCAAGTCGATCGTCAAATAAAGAAAACATAGCACACTCACAAATTTACAAGGGATGAATATCAAAAACAATTTATATTGCAACTATGAAATTATATAATAATACTGCAAAATTTTAAATTTTAAAATACTACATTTGTATTATAACCTTTACTTTGGATTATTTTAGGTGGTTCAACAATATCGCCAGCTGTATCCCAGGTGTAGCCGAGAAATTTTGAATAAAAAATATTCAAATTAGAAAAACTATTATTGTGATAAACAATTATTATTTTATTGTGTTTCTTGTTTTTTTAGCTTCGATGCGAAGCTGAGAAGGTATTGATTTTACTAAGATGTGTTTATTTTTTTTTTTTGTGTCTGTTACCACTTTTTCTCAGCTCTCACCGAACGGATTTCTTTCAACAATACGTCAAAAGATTTTCAGTGAATCTAACAAAATTTTGAGCCGTTGACTCTGAATTTATGAAGTTGAAAAATAAGGAACACCCTAATGGATATATACAGTTTTATTATGATAAATACTATTTATATACCTCTTTCATTCGACATACGTCAAAAGATCACAAATCGTATCTAGTCGAAGACATTACCCTCAGAAATTGAAAAAATTTCCCTCATTCCTCGTAAATGTCGGAAACCTCCAAAAAAATTACAAATTTAAAAATCGCTAATTTTCGAAATTTTTTCAATTTTTTTTTACTTAAAATTGCCATAACTTTTTTAAAAATAATCAAATCAATATAATTATTTTTTTTGTATATGCATGATGTCTTTACCTATCATTTGGTATATTTTTTTATAAATTTGACCCTTTACCTGCCCATAGGGGGGGATTCAAAATGACAACATTTTTACAAAAAATTAACTTTTTCAACTTAACTTTTTAGTGTTCCAGATTCCGGAAATACTGACACTTTTATATATACCTTAAATTAAAGCTTATGTACTATACTTTATTGTAGAAAAAAAAATTTCGGACTTTATTTTGTCTTCAAGGCGAAAATGGCTACTGTATGCTATTTTTGTGTTAAAATTCTGGATCTTATATTTTCCATATTTAACGTTTTTACATATTTAACTTTAAAATGCTATAACTTTTTGAAAAATGTATGGATTATTATAACTTTTTTAAGAGAAATAATATTTATATATTTCTTTCATTCGACATACTTTTTTTTTAAATCGGACTAGTTCCCTTTATGCAAGGGGGGTTCAAAACTTAAAAATGCATATAGAAAGTAGAACATTTTTAACTTAACTTTTGTAGTGTTTCAGACATACTGACACTTTTATATATATCTTAAATTAAAGCTAATGTAATATACTTTGATAAAAAAATACGATTTTTGTAAAAAATTCTGTTTTATATTCTTAACTTTATAATGCTATAACTTTTTGAAAAATGTATGGATTATTATATTTTTTTTGAGATAAGTACTATTTATATTTATATATTATTAATATATATATATATATTTATTTATTTATTCATATATTACACTTCTATATCATAAAACTTGTAATCAAAATATAAATAATAAAATAGGAGACCTGTAGCTTTTGGAATAATCCATTAATTTTTTTAAATTAAACACTATCTACAGATTTGCATCAAAGCGTTTTTTATGATAGTGATTTTAATCACTGTCAGATATCATCTATACCGGACCCAACTATGCCACGACCCCACTGTGCTGGGTTTTTTTTATTACGTTTTGACAAAAATTTTCATTTTAATTATAACGTATACTTGCTCTGTTTCTATATTTCCCTATCCAAAATTTACATTAATTAAAAGTGTATAGTGCGAGGCCCTAAAAACAACAATAAGACACCAAACTCCGGCAGCAATTTGCCGAGTTCACACGATGACACTGCTAAGAGCAAGGGCCTCTGTGCCCACCCTTAGTACACTGCTGATTACCAAACCTAGTTAATGGTAGTAACTTTATTTGTTAAAATTTAATCAATATTAGTTTATTTAACAATATTTAGTAAACAAAACACTATCTTATAAAAAAAAGAATTGTAAACGTAAGCTCGATGAAAAATAAACATTTTTGTTTTTATTAAAATATAATAAAATTAACTTTCAATTAATAAGCTTGATCGGTTGTAATTACTTTATTTATAATTATAAAAAATCTTATATGTAATTGTTCTTTCTTTTAATATGGGGATAAGTATTAAGTCTTTCGAACTTCCCTTATTTGCGTCAGAGAATTAAGACTTGATACTGTTTTGTGAAGTTTGTTTATTACATAATCACTACGCGTGTTGCAGGCCAGAGGTCAGCTTGTGTTTTATTTAAACTTTAGAAGTGAGAGAAACCGGTTACAATGTTTATTGAAGCATCTACAAGTCGATCTACAAATCGAACTAAGTTCAATAACAAACGTAGCAATAATAATAAACACTCAGTGAAAGATAATCATGACTTTTGAACGTCAGATGTATTAAAATTTGAATTTAGATTAAAAAAAAAAAAAATTTTAAAATAACTCGAATCTAGTAGTTTGCGAGTATAATGAAAAATAAAATTTATACTTTATTGGTCAACATATGATATATATTATATTAGCTAATTAATTAATAACCGACACTTCAATTAATTGAGAAAAACAACTAATTACAAATGCCCAATCAAACATCATTAGTTCTTTATTTTATCACTATTAAGATTAATAGTTATTAAAGTGTATGTCATTTTAAAAAACAATAATAACACCATAGAAAAAAATTGTAAAATAAAGTAAGTAAAAAAGAAATTCTTTTAATGGTAACAAATTTATTTAGAATTATATATTTTTTTAACTATATATAAATCTTTATACTTTTCACCAAAACAAATATTATTACACAATAATTTCTCTACTTTAATTTAAAAAGTACACACAGTTTTTATGACCGTATTAATAACTAATAAAATTTTATGATTATTATTATTTTTAATAGACTTACTCGTCGTTTTCTTCTTGAAAGAATGACATTTTCTTGATTTTTTTAGTTTTTGGCTATTTTATATTAGATACAATATAATACCTATTTAAATGGCAATATTATTATTTAACTAAAAATACGCTTATTTCAATTAAATCAACAAAATCCAATAAATAAGTAAATAAACAAATATCAATCTGCAATTCAACAGTTGCCTGAACACTTCAAATATGCACTGAATGAAAGGCGTGTTATTCATAAGCGCATGTCTTGGTGTAAACCATAGCCGATCGATTGTTCAAATTTCTCGCATTCAGATATGCGTACGCTTTTTTCACACTGTTACACGTATAAAATAATAACTGTTATAACCAAAACAAATCAAATTACATCACTGATATCATTTCATACCAATAGATGGAGTAAAATTCATTGTTCACAGTTTAATCTACACAAAATATTGAATATTTAAATATTCAAGTCATAAATATACATGGAATGTTGTTTAAACATTTTCTTTTTAAAAAGCTAATGTTTTAAGATTTCTTAATAATAAAAAATAAAATTATACCTTTTTAAGTAGAGAGCTAAAGATAAACTTCAGGGTTTTTTTAAATCTTAAAAACTTAGTACAGTCGAGGTTGAGTTAAAGGGATAAAGGGGCTTAAGTGAAACTGAAAACAGTATAAATTGAAAACTAGCTGTCATTTTATACTACCACTATAATAATGCTCGAGGGGAAAGTGTTTTAAGAAAAGTTTGTTATTTTATAATTTACTGGAGGGTAGCCTAAGTATATTCCCCTGAATATGGTTTTCCTATAATAGTATTTAATTATTATAATAAAAAAAAAATAGTTTCTTTCAATTTTACATGAAATAATTATAATTTAACTAATTAAAATTTCGTTTTGACTCAGTTTTTCTAATAGACAATTTTTAATAAGGACAATATTTGGAATAATTTTATAAATTAAATCAATTTTAGAGAACTTTTTTAATTTTCGAGGGTAATATCTTCCACTAGATATAATTCGGATTATTTTAATGTATTGACTATCTAAAGACGTATGTATTTATTAAAAAATAAATAAATTAGTTTTAACTACAGTAAAGCCTTGATTATCCGCAATAATAATGAGGGGGTCAAACGATTAAATGAAACTCATGACTGACTGAGACTTATTATTTTTATGAATTACATTAATGTATTAATATATTATGTAAAAAGGTATATATATATATATATATATATTATTAAATAATGTTATCAGCATTTGAAATGTACTAAAGATCGTCACAACATAATAATATTACATACTTATAGAACCACTATACATTATTATTACTTATGCCTTTACTTTTAGTAGGTATACATAAACGTTCAAAAGAGTGAGGATGGTTAATCTAGATTCCACTGTACCAACGAAAATATTGATCGTTCTTTGCTTTGTAAAATATACTTTACTTTTAATCATACAATTCTTTTCAGTTTATCTGTAATTAAAGTGTAGGGTATACAAACGTCATACCTGACTTGTTAACGTACATACAGCTCATAATATTTAATATTATTAATTAAATTAATGAAATTTTCCCCGTGGATGGGGGATAAGAATACTTCCACGGCCCCTTTACTAGTCGTAAGAGGCGACTAATGAGGTTGCGTCAGGTCGACAGCCGGCGTAAAATTTTTGTCAAAATGTATGAGGAGTCCTGAACAAACAAGTGTAAGTTTAGGATAAGGTGGTCGACCCCAAATAGTTGA